AAAAAAAGAGTAATAATAAAACGAATATATATATGTATCCATGCCACAGAACATTTAAATATGAGACAATTTTCATATGGTGCAGGTTGATAGTTATATTTGGGAGAAGTCCACAGTCAGGATGGCCGAGCGGTCTAAGGCGCTGCGTTCAGGTCGCAGTCCACTCTGTGGGCGTGGGTTCGAATCCCACTTCTGACAGGATTTTTTGGGCTTCATGCCAACAAATATGTTTTTAAAAGTTTGAAAATAATTATAGGTTCAGATGGAGAAAATGATCATGTCAATTTTTGTCAGTCACGTTTTAAATTTTTTCTGAGCTATAATTTAACTGTTTTTCTTATTAAATTATTCATTTTTCTAAGGTTAAGGCAAATATAATTCCATTTTTCTTTAGTCTTTTTTAATCACATCTATTACATCTGACGTTTCGGGGCAATTTTCCCATCCTCAGAGAATTCCTTATGTTTACTTGACTTTGTGATGTGGCACCAATCGTCAAAAATTACAATACTTGTCATTTATATTTAAATATAATACTTTTTGGTGTTACACATTCATTTTCTGTCCATTATCACACCAACCAACATCTGTGATAATGGACAGAAAATGAATGTGTAACACCAAAAATTATTATATTTAAATATAAATGACAATTATTGTAATTTTTTACGATTGGTGCCACATCACAAAGTCAAGTAAACATAAGGAATTCTTTGAGGATGGGAAAATTGTTCCGAAACGTCAGATGTTATTGATGTGATTAAAAAAGACTAAAGAAAAACGGAAGTATATGTGCCTTAACCTTAGAAAAATATATATACCTAAGTTTCCTAAAGAATGAAAAATAAGAAGACAGTTAAATTATTTATAAAACTTTCTATTATATATATATATATATATATTTTTTTTTTTTTTTTTTTTTTTTTGCGACTGGCATACTTTATGTTACATATACAAAGCGAGACGGACCGTAACGAAGATACTTATTCCCAGAATTATGTCTCCCTTATTTTGACTCCACTTGTTAGTTAGGGAGTTGAGGTCAGAGAGAAAAATAAATAAAAATATTTTTTTATTATTTTATTTTGTTTCGACGTTTCGGCTTAAGTTTCAGGCCACACCCTGTACTTGCAGAAGCTCTGATGTAACCTGAAACATAGACCGAAACGTTGGAACAAAATAAAGTTTGTATATATCATTTTTTTTAATTTCTAACCACTGTTTTATTTAATAATTACGCGCAAATTGTATTGATGGTGAGTGAGCAGCTTCGGCTGTTTTGAGATTTTTGTTTGCAAGAAAATACTATGCGAATTATATTTATAAACTTGTTGCTTGGCAGGTTTATTTTAGAAATGGCTCAAACATTAAAGGTGCTCTTCTTTTTGTAACATTTTTTTTTATTTCGATACTGACCTTGAGACCTCATTTAAGAGCCTGATAATTTAGGGATTTCTGCTTTTTGATTATATCGCGTCACGAGGTTGTCTGGAAATACCAAAGTTTCACTAAAAACTTTGTCGCAGCTTCTAATTTTTTAAATATTTTTTTACATCCCTCCATTTAAATAAAATAATAATTTATCATTGAAGCAAATATGAATAATATCGAAAAAACGCGTATAGTCATAATTTTACTTATTTTAGCATACTTTATTTTTATTTTAAGTCTTACTTTATTATATCCATTGTCTATATTGTAACATAATGGTATATTATTTAATGAAATAGTTTTTAAAAAATTTCAGGGTGACTTTACATTGAAATAATTGTGTTCGCAAAACGGATACTTGGCCTGTTGCTTAAGATTAACTTTAATAACATCCTAGATTTGAGTGAAAAAAGCGTTGATTGCTAAAGTAGCGTCAGGAAGATGGATTTGATGATTTTTTACAAACAAATTTACAATGTGGTTTAAGCATTAAGCATTTACTTCTAAACTGATCCAGATAAGACAAAGTATAGTATTTCATTTCACGAAGTGTAGGATGAAAAAGACTCCAATATGCTTAAAAGTATGTCCCAGTGGTTTATTTTAAAATAGCAGCAAACGATATTTACGGGAATTAATGGAAGCATAGTGGGTTACATTACTGCTTTATTGGTATCAAACGTAGCTTAATATTATAAAGCCTGAAGACTTCCTTAATAAACGGTATAAACGATTCAGAAAAAAAAAGTTGGCCAAAGAAGACGAGAATTAAAGTAAAACGTTTGTGCTTGCGCTTTATTTTAGTGACTGTAAACGACATTTACGGAAAGATATTCCATTGTAATTGAACTCTCACGAATACAAAATGTGAAAGAATTCTTTACTTTTAAGCAATTCCCATGAATTGACTTATTCAATTATCAACTTTAAATATAGGAAAAACCATTTTTATCTCTCTCACTACTTTCATTGATAGTCATTCTGAAACCTTTTGTACAAATATGTACCTCGGAAGTTAAGAACACCTAGTCAATATTTGTATTTGCTGAGGGGAGTCAATTTATCTTAACTTTGAGCTATTACAATGTGTTTCTTAATTACTAAGTATTTTTTCAGATTTATTATGGTTTCTGCTTCGTGCCGGCAAGTTCCTAAACAGCGCTGAGCTCATCAGTGGCTATTGGAAAATCATTAGACCGTTCCTAACCTCATAAATGGAAATCAGCGTGTTCCTTTAATCATCCATTGAATCACTTATGGCTCAGAGGCTCCAGCGGGTTTTGGGGTTGATAGTAATATGTAACTTCTTTATAACCTCAATGTTGTTATTTCTCAATTTATTCTAAATATTTATATTCAGATTACTTTCTATCCATATTAATTTTTACTTTGAATTATTTCCTTATATATTTTCTATCCTTTGTGCATTTTTTAACCTTTCAGAGGCGATCACCTTTCGCTGGAGTACAGCAAGTCCCTCCTAAACTCAGCGTAATTCGCTGTGCATCGGTGCAAGATTCAATCGATTTAGCAATGGATTTAGCTCTGAGTTTTGGAATTTGTCTTTTTTATTGGTCATAACCCGATATTATATAGAATTAAAAAGACTTCTTGAATAAAACCTATAACTAGCGCAAAAGGAATTACACATCGGACTGGCAGTTCCTTAGATTAGCTTGTTCAAACACCTTCAGAAAAGAATAGATTATTTTTAAAATCATTTAAGGATTACATAAACCTAATTTTGATTAATATTCCAGTTTAAATATTCCAGGAAGCTAGAAAGTGAAATAACAATTCAAGTAAAATGACGACCAATTTTTAATACTAATGTGTTTCTCTTGACAGCCAACAAATATAAACATATTTATTTGTAAAAGACGAAAGCATACACAATCATTGACCTAGTTTTGAACTGATCTTTCCAATCAACCTTTGTTGGTATTGATTTCATCAATGCTACACCTATCAACTACAGCTGTCAACTTTAAACTATTAATCATCATAGGCATTAACAGATTTTCTATTTGTAATTTGTCTGGAACTGAAGTTATGTTAATATATTCCTCTTTTCAAAGCTATCTGATTGAATGAATTAATTATTTTCTTAAAATATTTGCTTGTCTTGTACTTTTTTCTTGAAGGAACTTTGAATAAGGGTTGCGTTTTTCTTCCATTTTCACCTGATTAGCAATTGAAGAATCAAGTGGACGTAGGTAAATAAGAGGCATTTTTGGAGAAAGTGAATTCTTAATATGAATTTTTAATATTTCCTCCTTCCATGCCCACAAAATCATTAAACCGCTCAGAAATGAGTTGATTATTAAGTGATGATATTATATTATTCTCTGTCAGTAGAAAATTTTTATCTTTATTATTGAGATCACATAGGAAAAAAAACAAGAAACAAATTTTAATAGCTCAACAATCTCCACTGGGTTTAGCCCCAGTGATGCGGTTGAGGGGGAAGTGCAGGGATCTCCTGGAGTCATGCTTTTCCCTCCACAGTTGGAGGGACAAGTCTGGCTCGGAGTTGTAAATAGTGTATATAGGTATGTATGTGTTTTATTTATTTATTTTTAGGTTATTTTATTCTTATTTATTGTATATATATTATTTTTCTGTATAATTTATTTTATTTATTGTACATAGAGTGTGAATGTGATCTCTGAACACTATTATTAATGTCCTTGAAGACAGATTAAAATGTTTTTCAATAAATAAGTTTACAAAAAAATAGCTCAAAATTATGGAACATTAATCCCCCTAAAAAAAATTCTGAAATGGACATGGTTTTTACTTCCGGGGTATAGATACTAACTTATTTCCAAAATAAATCAATGCAATACCATCTGTGTACATTTTGAATTATTAGCAAATAAAATATAAATTCATCGTTGCTTTTCCTAATGTTCGTTAATTTGCTGTCGTTTACCTACGGAGTACAGATTTAGTAATTAAGAAACACATAGTAATAACTCAAAGTTAAGATAAATTGGCTCCCCTCAGCAAATACAAATATTGGCATGGTGTTCTTAACTTCCGAGGTACAGATTTGTACAAAAGGTTTCAGAATGACTATCAATGAAAGTAGTGAGAGAGGTGCTTTCATTATCTTTAAAGTTGCTAATTGAATATGTCAATTCATTGGAATTGCTTAAAAGTAAAGAATTCTTTCACATTTTGTGTTTGTGAGAGTTTAAATCGGATAGGAAAGGCGGCCTTAAGTGCAAAATTTTATTTTTGATCAATTCTTGTACTTTTTACAGGCCTGAACCCCGCCTTTTCTTGAAGGCCAGCAAGAGTGAAGTCACGACATTCCCATAGCGTCCGATCTTGCGAATTTTCTTCCTTCTTTTTTCTTTCAGCAGAGTTCCTACACCATCATTAATGAGTTAAGTGTTCCGGATATGTTTTTATTTTTCCCTGGTGTTTTCGATGGAAGAGGCGGAAGATGTTTCCTAACCGCTTGTGGGCCTGAGGAGCGAGTGGCGTCCTTGTGGCAAGAACCGGTCCCCACTACCGTCAGTATTTGAGCCACTGCTTCTTCCTCTTCTTCAGTTGTCTTCGCCATGGCCAGCTACATCGGAGTCTTTCTTCTCTTCGTTTTATTTGCGGGTGTCCTGTCTGCTCCTACCGATTCAGGTGAGTGGAGAAAATAAAAATATGCTATATAAATTATTATGTTTTCATTTCATTTCCATTGGAGGATCTCCAAACTACAGTCCAGTTTTATAACATGGTAAAATAAAAAAAAAAAATTAATAAATTTGTAATTTGATTAAGTACTCTAACATTTATTGTAAGAATTTTTTCTCTTGGATCGTCCATTTCAAAAATTTAAACATAGAAATAAATTTAAATAAGAAAATGAAAAACCGGGACCGTTTTTAAATATACTCTTACTGAGGAAAACAAATTCGCGAACGCAAAATCAAAGCTGGTGTAATTTGAACGAGGTGATACCGGGCAATTTGTGCATCAGTTCTTAACTACTGTGTTAAACAAAATATTTTTGCACATACGTACTTCCGAATTGATACATTTAGACACATCTCCCCACCATTGCTCCAACTTCGTGGTAAATTGGATGTAAATTTTTTAAAATATAGTTGTGTTAAGGATAATACGTTTGCCCATGCGTAAGCGGAATTAGTGAGTGGACAATTAATAAAATAAAATTAATATGAGAATAGTTATGTACCAATTCGCATTATCCAAGAAAATGTCATCAAAACATAACATATTTATTTATTTGATGTTTCGTTGCCTCTACCCTGTAGGGTCATTGACAACGCCTTTAAATTACATTCTGTTGTAGAGTTTTATCTCTTTTAAAAACCTTAAAGTTTTTTTGACTGCACTTTCACTGTCTTGTACATTGAGTTTTAGACTCTGTGCCATGTCTAACTTTTTTCCTTGTAGGTTCAAATGAAGGGCAGTCTTGAATAATGTGCTTTACTGTCCTTTGGACATTGCAGCTCTCGCAGGTCGGAGGATCAAGTTCTCTTAGTAGGTAGGAGTGCGAGAACTATTTGTACTTAAGATGAAGTGTCGTAATTTATTATAGATATTTGAGATTAAAAAAGTAATTTCACTCATATTTGTTTTATTTTAAAGATGTTTCGGCTGTCGTGCCATTATCAGTTGATTTGGTGGTGTTAAGGGAAACTGTTCCAAATCAGTCATGTTAAATTTAAATTCAAATTCAATTTAAAATTATATTAAATTTATGAAAGTAAATTTAAATTTAACATGGCTTACTAGGAGCAGTTCCTCTTAACACCAAATCAACTGACGACTAACAGCAGAATCGTCTTGAAAATTGTTTAAAATAAAAATTTTGTAGTCGATTTTTTGAAGTGAAAATTTCTTTAGGCGCGTTTTGCACTTTTTTGTAGAAAGGGAATTAGATTGAGCCATTAGATTTCCGATGTGTAACGCTCGGGTAAAGTCAGCAGTAGTCGACTAATTGAAGTATTTCAAAAACTAAAATCGGACCTGCATATTGTTAGCAATGCAGATGTTCATCATTTCTACTAGCTATTATTCAAAACAGTATCTTAACGCGACACCGTCTTAAAGAGAAGAAAAGAGGAAAAATAGTATCGAAAGCTAAATGATAACGAGTTTTATTGAAGATATGGATTAAAATATCTCAGAAACCAAAAAACCGGACCTGGATACTGTAAGCGAGGGAATTGTTCAGCCTTTCATCCTCTCTGTAATGAAGTATTTATAATTTATATTTCATATTTTAAATCTCGTTTTGATGTTTTCAATTCTGTTGTGTGGTCTAAAACACATACCTTAGTTTTTTTCTTATCATGTGGATTTCACCATAGAATAACTCAAATTCGTTCCTTGAAGTATAAAAGGTAATACATAAGTATCTATGAAAGGATCATATCATCGCTAACTTACGTGCGTGACTGCTTGAAATGGAACTGGGGCAGAGAGAATTGTTTTGTTGGTTGGGAGTGCAGAGTGTATGGGTGCTTTGAAAAGCATTATTAATCGACTCGTAATCTACTGTAGATCGAGATCTACTGTAGTTTCTACAGACTGTACTCAGTCTCTGTCGTCATTATTAACAGGTTTACGAGTTTTGCTCGTTTGAATGACTTCCTGGGCCTGTTTAACATTGAAAAATGAAGTCTGAAGTTTTGTCTACTAAGCCGCCATTTGAAACGAATAGGGGCTCCAAGCGCAATAGCGCCGGCGCAACAAGAGAAAAACGTGTTTTTCCATAGACTTGCTCAAAAACGGCTGTAACGGTTTTGATGAAACATTCCTGTCTCCAATCTTCAACCTGGAACCATTCTATTTTCCTACATATGACGAATTCCCCAATATAGATTATTTTACGAAAATTTATTAAATTTCTGACAGAACTAAAACAAAAACTAAGTATCTGCTTTAGAGTAAACGAAACAAGGCGAGTAAAAACATCAACAAGGAGAGATTAATTAAAATAATAGCTAATTATAAAGAGGTTGAAATGCTGAACATTTCCCTCGCTTACAGTATGCAGGTCCGATTTTTAGTTTCTGAGATATTTTAACTTCCAAAAAAAAAAGTTATTATTTGGTTTTCGACACTATTTTTTCCCTTTTCTCTTCTCTAATACGGCCTCGCGTGAAGATACAACTTTGAATAAACTCATTACAAAGAGGATAAAATGATGAATATTTCTCTCGCTAACAAGATGAAGGTTTGATTTTTAGTTTTTGAGGTATTATAATTCATATGCAAAAACACTTGAATTAGTCGGCTCCAGCCGAACACGAGCGTTACACATCGGAGATCAGACGACTCAATATAATTCAATCTTAAAAAAAAAAGAAGTTTTCACTTCAAAAAATGGTCTAAATTGGATCAATTTCATCAAGATTATAGAGTATTGAATTTACTTACATTTTAAAGGTAATATTTTCTTTACATCAACGGATTAGACCGTTGTACCTTTATTATTAGACTACCTTTTCATCAAATTATTAACATCTGCCTGAAGCTTCGTAAATAGTTTCATCTCATCGTAACCTACAACTATTTTATTTATGAAAATTGTTGGAATTGGGGCGTTTTCAATCTGAAGATTGCCAAACTTTGTCTATTTAATTAGATACTAAAAACTCGTAAATACCCGTTTGCTTTCCAAGTGGGCCGTTAGATAATTTGAGCACAAAGTCGAGAAAAAATGTGGCCTTCAAAAACATTGAGCCGTGTGGCGTGACCTATATCTCCGAATTGTCAAAATAACTAGGTTATATAGGCCAAACGGCGATTTATTTTTATAGGTCACTTTTTTCTTGATTTTGTGATCAAATTATCTAACGATCCAAGTGGAAAGAAAATGGGTATTTACGAATTTTTACCACCCAATTAAATAAACAAAGTTTGCCGACCTCCAGATAGAAAACGCCCCAATTCCAAGAGTTTTCATAAATAAAATAGTTGTAGGTTACGATGAGATGAAACTATTCACGAAGTTTCAAGCGGATGTTAATAATTTGATAAAAAGGGAACTAGATGGAATACGTGCCTCTTTACATTGCTTTGGTTTCAAAGAAATCGTACGTAGAAAATTAAACTATTTTCTTATTTTATGCACATATTTAAAGTTGTATATATTCGTCTATAATCGATAGGAAATACATGTGATCGAACACCAGATTTATGATGTGTTATGTATCTAATTTAATAAGTAAGCATAAAAATGAATTTTATTGACATTTAAATATGCAATGGGATATTATATAAGCAAATAGTAAGAACGTCTGTCAAAGGAAGAATGACGCAGCGCAGTATTCTCCAAGGAGGAAGACACGCCTGTGGTATAAAACTTACGTACACAGGAGAGGTAATGCCAGTCACAACAGAACCACAAGTGATAGTGAAAACTGGTGGTGCTAAAACAATGAAATTAAAGGTAATTACAATGGCCATGCCCTTAAATCGCGCTGAGTTCATCGTTCCACCGAGTTTAGAGACGGATCCGATATCATCGATGAGTTCAGCGCTGAATTTATGAATTTACCTTATATTTAAACAAAATAAATAAAATAAAAACTGAACCACTTGGAGGTTCTTATGTACATTGTAATGAGTACCTACTTTAAAGAGACTAGTTGTACCTCTGTAAGGTCTCACCAGCCCAGGGTCAGTGTAGCAGAATAATTAACTATCCATCACAGCTGGCCTCTATGCGAGACCCTCAGTATATAAGCTGTGTACCTTACTCACTGAGCTATCCTTCTACTATCAATATACACAACCAAACAACTGTTTGTAAATATTACTTTTTAGATTAAAAAAATATTTGCTTTAAACAAATTATTATTGTAGTTAAACTGGTGTTAAAATTCCATCCGTTTCTAGATGGGTAATGTATTCCCAACAATTATTATTAAATCTATTCCTTGTATAATTTTATCTTGTTCACAAAACAGAATTTCATAATGTGCATCCGGTCAATATAATTGAGATAATGCTATACCGGGAAATTCTCAATAACTATTTTAATTATAGCAGAGTAGTAGCAGCAACCAAACCTTCAAAATTATAGAACTCATCGTTTTTCTTTATTTTCCTTCCTCAAGGTAGCGCGAAACTTCATACTCGTGCAGAAGGTTAATAATTTTACATCATGATCGAAAACTTGGATTTTACAATTTAGACATCAAGGAACAAATATCGTTCCGTGAATCATCTCCAGATATCTGTTTTCTACGAAATTCACGAAGATTTGGTTGTTTTCTAGATGACTGAAATTACATTCACTGTTTTCATTTATACACTCGTAAATGTGTTTTCTTAGATACGCATAAATTTCAAAAACGGCTCGTTCGATTTGACTAAAAGCTGGAGAAAGTTTATTTTAATACGTATCACGATCTTGAACCAAAATGGTAATCAAGAAAAACAGACAATTGATGCTCAAATGTCAAGCTTGTTGTTCTTTACACACATTACAAGATCCAGAAATAAATAGTCAAATAATATCAAGATGGCAGGGATGCATTATTAATGCTTTTCAAAGCTCCGTACACTTCCGACAAACAAAACAATTCTCTCTGTCCCAGTCCCATTGCAAAACGTCACGCGTGTGGGAATAAATTAATGATGATATGATCCTTTCAACATTCTTCCGTCTTAACCGACTATAAAACAGAAGGTTTCTCTTTATTTAATCTCCATTCATAAGTATCCCGTCAAGGCCGTCTTGATAAAATAGTTTAAAGTAGAATTTACTTAAGTTTTCAATAAGGAACAATGACACACAAATTTAGAAATTCTAAAAGTGGAGTTCCCAGTTATACAGTTCCGTTTATCTTCCCTTTAACCGAAAGTAAAGAAGCTTGGTTTCAATGATCAGAGTGATTTTTTTTCTTCTATAAATCGAAGATGTCCATTACCTATTATGTTTTGGAAATTGATCCATAGTGTCAATTTATAGATTTATGTTGATTGTGTCAATCAATCCATAGTGACCCTCCATCCTCTTGTAACGGTAACAGCAACTATTACCGTTGACTCGGTTTCGGTGAAATTTTTAGAAATTTGTGCGGGACGGTACTTAGAGGTTCTCACATCAATTTTATAAAAGTTCATCAATTACTTCTGCTAGCGCATGCCCAACTTATTATCCTTAACACGTTTATTTTTCGAAAAGAGTACGTCCGATAAGGTCCTTAGTTATAAGAAAGTTGGGGAGAAGTGTAGAAATGGTCCGGTAACAATTTTCTCAAATTCACGTAATCATACGAGAGATTTTCCTTGACACTCCTTGGGAATCAATATTCTAATGGTTGGGTATCAAATTACGAATTTCACCAGCTACTTTTAGTTATACTCTCAAGATTTTAGTTCCAAAAAACCTTGAAAGATCATGATCTAGAAATATAAGTAATTATGACCGGAATAGTAATGGTGAGTAACCTATTCCTATACATACGTTTTGTTTTGTTGGTAGACGGTTTTTTATAAATAATTTTGTAAGAATCTTATAAGGCCCTTTTACAAGATTAACGTGCTCGACCAGTTCCGTGGATGAACTCACTTTGGCCGAGAAACTTAAACGTATAAAAGTGTTTAGGGTCCCAGGGCGTGATCGATTATGTTGGAATCTTTTGACCAATCTATAGCAGCGTTTTATGTGTTTCGGACACATAAAAGGTAAAATTACTTACCTGGTACCAGGAAATTTACATTATCTTCTTGTTTGTGCCAAAGAATATATTATGTTTAACTACTGTTCTGGCTTTGTTCGAGAAACTAGGGTACGAGGATCTATGAGTATGAGCCTGTGCTGAATATATTAGTACTCTGAACACCAATGTACTTAACTATAATTTCTGGGACAGATCTTTGATTAAGAAACGATCTTTAACTATGCTAGTAGCTGTATTACGTTTCTCACATGTCATCATCCAATTTCGGAATGGCCTAAAGTTTTGATTAAGATCTTTCTGTGAACCCTAAAGATAACAATTCTTTCGGATAGAAATAGAAAACTAAGAGAGGACTACAATTATATTGCATGACTGCTCAATTGTGCTGAGTCGCTAAATCACATAGCATACTCATCAGTCAACATATTAATTAAAAAACAAAATCTAGTTTAAGTGGGACCATTTTAATATTTAGCAAATATGTTGAAAACAATGTACACAATCATATAAGTAACGGTGTTGGGGCCAGGAGTATTTCAAAATTGAAAATACAAAACTTTTCCGGGTGAGTTTCCTCAAAGGTGGAGAAAATACGAGCAAAATTAAATGGTGGGAAAGAAGAAAAAAAAAATAGTGAATATGAGACCTGTAAAACATGAAGAAAAAAATGCATGCACAAACAATACCATATAAAATTACTCAATTAATTAAAGATGTTAAGATAAGCAAATAAAAAATCCCCTTCTAAATGTTTACAATATTTATTGAATAAAAAAAATTTGAATATGTACAAAAGTTAAAATAAAGAATTGTGTAAAATTACGAGAAAAAATAAAACATAAATATAATATCCAGAGAAAATAAGACCAGATTAAACATTAGGAATAAAATGAACTTCTAAAATTATAAATAAAACAAGAGAAAAATAATAAAATTAATTTATGGAGACAACAAAATTAAATGAATGTTTCAATGTCTTTTGGTGATGGTGAGAATAAAAAAAAGAGCCAATTTGGAGGTTCTGCTTCCAACGAGGTTATCTTGTACAGCTAATGACAAAAGCAGTCGATGGTGGGGGGATCTCGATCGATAACTGCCGATGCGCCGAACAGCTGTCATCAGAAAATGGCGCTAGGCTGGAGTAGGTGAGGTGAGACGAGCCTGGAGCTGGTGATACGGTGGAGGTATATGTCGAATACGTGGACCCAACAAAAACGGCAGCTCGCTCCAGACTGACCTCCCAGCAGTCTTATCGCAGTATTGGTGTCTTAATTCTTAAGACTCAGTATTACTGCGGGCTGGTGTGTATAAGCAAATGCGATAATACATCGCAAACGAAAACAAATATATAAACAATATACACTGAGATACATTATAGGGACACTATCTCTCAGTTTTTACCAAAAAAAAAAAAATAAAATAATAATAATAATAATAAACATTTCATTAGTAAAACTTAGAAAGGGGTGAATGGTGAGAAAAAAAATAAAGACATGAGCGTATGCGGCGTTAACAAAATGAATAGGTCAATATATGTTGTAATGGAGAATTTCCAACGAATTAAAATTATAGTCTCTGCCATCACTTGTAGTGAGTGGGATGGTTCCCCTAATTCCGAACTACAATCCTTTAATTTAAAAGTAACTCTCTCCGTATTCACCCCTATATTTTTCTTTTAAATAGGATATACATTTCAGATAAATTTCCTCTTTCTCTGCTTGCATCTTAATGTCTTGATCTTGATCGTTCGCTTCAGACCTAATCGTGGAATCAACTATAAACGCTCTGCCAACGAACCTTGGATAGCTATCTGTATATATACAATAAACTTCGGCGAAACATGTACAATTGTTCATTTCTAGGAGTTCGGATAGCTGCTTCTTTATATTATATGTGCCGGCATGTTATAAGGAGCATGCTATTCATAAATAGATAATTAGATATATCTTATACTAAGGGTATTGTGAATTTTTCTTTGTAGCTAATAAATTTTATTTGCAGGTGCAGAAGAGGATTCCCGTAACAAGAGGGAAGCAGAGCCACATCGTGGAAAGTTCGGATTCCACAAGAAGTTCGGAGGAGGCTTCGGAGGAGGATACGGGGGCGGTTATGGAGGTGGATTCGGAGGCCCCAAATTCGGAGGCGGTCATGGATACAGGGGGGGAAAGTTCGGGGGCGGCAGCGCTTCCAGCAGCTTCTCTCAGTCCTACAGCCACAGCTTCTCCTCTCCCTTCGGCTCCTTCTCCAGCAGCGGCTCCTTCGCCAGTGCCCAGGCCGGCGCCCACAAGTAGTTCTCGACAGCCGAAGAGGACCGTCAATCAGCAAAGAGACCTTATACTAAGTGGTGCGACGAAATAGGTTCATATAATGGCGTACCTAGGGTGGTCGAAGGAAGAGAAGGCTATTCGCCCCGAGTTTCACAGCAGAGGGTTTTTAAAATTGAATGACTTCATATCCAAAAAAAAAATATATAATAATAATGAATCAACAAAATAAAAATATTTTGTTGATGTTACTGTGTTTTAACATAATACAGTGTACTTGATGATGGCATAACGGTCGAAATATGCCGATGTAAAAAATAAATTGAAGAAATCATGTAGTGAAATTTACTCACATTAAATAATTTCAAATTTTAGTGGTATTTTTTTCATATCTAGAATTTATTAAATTGGCCGTATCAATACACTCAAACTAAATAATGACAATTTATCAACTAGCCAAAGCAAAAAACGTGGAAAAATATGTCTCCGGCTTATTGAAAATAATCATTAAGTACATTTTTCATTTTGCTAAACTTTTAAAAACGTTTTGTCATTAAATCAATTAAACAAGGTCATGAAATATCTTTTTTGAATTTAACCTACAAAATATAATTTACTCACTTGATTCATTTTCAGTAACACCAGATATTATATTTATTTCCAGTTGACTGATTGTTCAAGTGAATATTAGAAAGAATGAACATGATGGAACAATACTTTTTAAATTTGAAATAAAATCATTTTTTTGGAACCTCGATAAATCCTTTCTTATTAAGGGAGCTCCAATATATATATATATTTTTAAATTTATTTATTATTATATATATATAATATATATATATATATATATATATATATATATATATATATATATATATATTTAAATTAAGCCTTAAAAATTCATCTTGGTACTCAAATTGTCTAGGTACGCCACTATGTCCTATATTTATGACAATATGGACTATAAATTGAAAAACAAAAGCTCAGAAATAAATTCATAATATAAAAAAAAAATTGAAATGGGTTCTTGGCATTTTTGATAGTCGTAAGAAAAAGGATACTTCTAAGGAATTACATCATTAATTACTGAAATTTCAAAAAGCTGCTAACAGCCCATTTAAATTAATAATAACAATTCATAAATATGTAATTATTTTGTAGATCTTTACTTAGAATAAGTAGTGTATAGCTGTTTTTCCTACTGCCAAAGTAGTCTTAATTAGTAAGGGACTGTAAGGATTCATGATGTGACAGAACAATAGATATAATTATTGTTATGAGCTTTATTTAACATTAAAAAAAATTCTACTTTTTTAATTAATAATTTGTAGCCAAATTATTATATAAATAATTCAGGAAAAGAAACTATAGTGATATTTTAAATTAATGTAATTTATGTACGTTAAATCAAATACAATTTTGAAATTATTTTGTTCTGTTTTTTTAAGTTATTGGATATTTACTTTAATTAATTGATATATATAACAATATTTTTTTTTAGCATTCTTTATCCCTGATCAAGGAATTAGTAGTTTCTTATTTTATTTTGTGGTCAATATATGACTGAATCTATAAACAAAATATAAAATATGAAGATATCTCCTTTCATTAATCAATGTGCATGTTTCTCATATATTTTTACTTAAGAACTTGCTTGGGGCTCCATTTTTGAAAAGCCTCAAAATTTGAATGGAATTGTATTTTTAGATTAAAACACTCTGAGTATTACAAACAGGTAACTAAATATACATAATTATAATAGGCGTTTTCAATCTGCAGGTTGGCAAACTCTGTTTAATTAATTAGATGCTAAAAACTCGTAAATACCCATTTCTTTCCACTTGCCTCGTTAGATAATTTGATCACGAATTCGATAAAAGTGATCTTTAAAAATATTGAGCCGTTTGGCGTGACCTACACCCCCAAATTTTCATTCTACATTCAAAAAATTCAGTAGAAAGTAAATGGGTATTTACGAGCACCTAATTAAATAGACACAGTTTACCCCCCTCCAGATTGAAAACGCCCAATTTCAAGTTTTCAAAAATAAAATAGTTGTAGGTTAGGATGAGATAAAGCTACTAACGAAGTTTCAGACGGATGTTAATAATTCGATAAAAATGGTCTGTACCACGGGCTATAACTCCTATTTCATGTGATCAATGCCTTCCACATTTCATAGTCATTATATTATTAATAGTTATAAATATATTAATTTTTATTATTAAATGGGATTAAATGAAATCGGTACTAGACAATATCTGAACTATTCTCCAAATTTCCACCAAGTTTGGGTCAGATTGAAAGAGCCGTTTTCAAACTATAGGCGTATCAGATAATATTTTTACTGATCATAAAGTGAAACTCTGTTTTTTGAGAGTATTGGGTAGGATTTGATGAAATTAATACTTGCCCAATTATCTGTTAATCGATCCCCCACTTCCCTCCAAATTTGAGCCAAATCTAACTAAAGGTTTCAGAGATGTATCTAGGAAAACACGTTAGCGTATATATTAGAGAAAGTAGATGACGGAATTCAATAAAATCGATAAAGAATCATTATTTTATCAAAATCCATATTACTTTTAACTTTGAGCCAAATCGAACGAGCCTGGAATATCTGATGGATATCGATCTGAAACATTGGAATATCTATGAAAACACATTTATGTTTGTGCAAGCGGAAGTGCTGGATAATTTAATAAAATTGATATGGAACCATCTAAGCACCAATCCGCACAATCCCTAAAAAGTTCATGAAAATCGCATGAACGGTAGTAGGTGATATGCCCGTCTAATCGATTTGGCCATAGACCCAAATTTGATGGTTGATGTCTGAAACGTAAAAGGCGAGGGAAAATTTCCGATTCCTGGCACAAACATTTTTTTAACCTCTAGCACGAATACAATGCTTCCCTACCTTCGGTAGTGATGCAGGAAAAAAAAATTAATCCAGTTAGAGATGTTGAGTTTTTGTAATGTTTTTTCAATTTTTTTAAATGTTCCTCATGGTCTCATGTTATAGAAACATGAAGGCTTTTAGAGCAGCCTACTTGGAGAATCCATTACTCAAATTAAAATATCTGAGTGATAAGAAGACATAAATTAGATTATATTTATTTAAGTATGTTTTATTTGTAAACAAATAGTCAGAGAGAAATTAAATTTGGTTTTCTGATCGATCGGCTTTCACAAAACGAACTTTCTAGAGCGTAATAAGTTATCATTTGGAATGGATATGAAGAAGTTGAAGAACTTGGCCAAGACGGGGACCATCGTCACTACAAACGTTGAAGACGCATTCATGACTCTGTTTAAGATGCTAAGAAAGTTTAGATTATTTCCGATCAATGAGAGTTTTGAGCTTGTCCCCAGACTCGCCTTTATTTCTACACTATTATTCATATTGCTGATCGGCACAACCGTTTTTTGGTTCCACACCGATGACCAAGTCCTCATCATGTTCGGTTCAACTCATCGCATAATCTATAATATCCGGAAATTAATCGAAACGGTCTCATACTTCGTTATTGTTTGTCAGTTTTGCTTGAAAAGAGAGAAGCTGTTGATGGTATTAGAAAACCTAAGGACAGTGGAGACTTTGTTGGCGCCATTAAATAAGAAGTGGACATGGTCTCTCCACCCAATCCAGTACCTCGGTAATATTGTTTTGACTATCGTCCTCTACATCGTCGAAAGGACAGTATTTCCTTTTAGCCTTGAAATAACGGTTCACTCCTGTTCGCTGAACATCGACCTAATATTATCAGCTGTTTTTGTAAATCACTTCTGCGCATTTCTGGATCTACTGAGGTACAGTTTGAGGAGAGCAATGACCTGTAATTACTATGGTTTATATCCGAGACTTTATTGTTTGATCTACGACTCATGTGAGATTTTGAACGATGTATATGGCGTTATGGTTTTTCCCGTTTTGTTGGTGGACTATATTGGATTACACCACCAGATCTATCAGTTATTCAGTGTTTCTAATCAAACCCCGATGTTTGCTTTCAGTGTCGTTTTTTGTGCGGTATATTATGGCACCTTAATACTCCAAATAATATTGGCCAGCAATGCGCTTTCGGTGGAGGTAAACATATAAATAATTGAAAAGAAAAAGAATTACATACTTATTACTGTTATTTGCTAATGAGCATCATTTCAAAATTTTGGGCAGTAGGAAATAATATGGTCAAATCTGAAAATAGTTAAATTTTTTTTTAATCTATCCTTTTAGAAACAAAATTCATTGCTTAGTAAAATTTGTAATTATATGAACAGTAAAATATATTTGAAATCCCCATTTCTCACAGTCCAGAGATACAACTGTACCAAGCTTTATTGTGGACTATTTCATGAGGGAGACTCTGAATACAGGACTTTTGAAAATTCGAAAAACACACTATTTCTGTATTTTTTTTTCGAAAAAAAATTTTATGCCCAAAGGTGATCGAAATTTTGAAATGACCCACATATATTTTTACGTTTCCTTTGCATAATATATTGTTACTTATCTTCCTCATTCCTTGTGTTCAATTGTAGACTACATGCAAGTATAAATTCAAATTGCAAGGCAATCTATTTATAAATATAGTTGTAGTGCCAATGGGCAACGATTCATCGATTGTAGTCAAACCCTTAAAGTTTATAAATTAAATCATTATATCACAGTAATTTACAGTAAAAGTTTGAAGTAGACATAATGCTGGTATTTCTTATGGCTGAAAAATTCCTAGCTAGTGACCGGGCTGCTAATTTTTAATTTAACTCCCTTATCAACAAGAGGCCAAATGGTACTATACTGAGACCATTTCATTATAATATTTAACCCATTACATTAACTTGAAATTAAATTTAATGCTTATTTTACTCATAATTTACAAAATGTATTCTCAAAAATTAAAAAAATATATAAGAAATCAAAATGCGGGCAGAAATTGAACTATACCAAGCACATTCTATATTCTATAAATTTTGTTCCTGGTTCATGGAGAACTCTTAGCCATAGCACTGGGGGGCCAGCCAGCGCCTTCATCACTCCAGTCTTGATTCGTTTTAATGACCAGGAAACCCAATTTTATAATTGACATTAATAACATAAAACTACTTATCAGTGGTGAGACATGAGATTTGTAGGCGAGACGGATATGCATGGAAAATGATATGTCCCGGCAGACATCAGGAGCAGGGTGTCGAGACGGGAGATGCCCCTCCCCAATAAAAATAATGAGGTGGCGAGAATATCATTTTTCCCCCAAAATATTTTCAAGTAAAAATATAAAATCAAAATCAATAACAAAATATGTAAACTAAAATCAATTAAGAAAATAGAAAACATCAAATAGCTAAGCTAAGGCCTAAAAGTGGTTACGCAAGTATTTTACCACATGCTGATTTCCAACTAATTAAATTTATGTTTAAAAAATTTTTATACGTAGCAACCCACCCTAGTCTGTTATGGTTAGTTCATGTGTGTCTTTTATGATTAATTCATGTGTGTCTTTTCATTTTTATGTGAAGATTTGATCAAATTTCCCACAGTAAATTTGAAACATCAGAGAATATAGAGTTTATCTCTGCCTCAAACATCTAAATAAAACTATTTATCAAATTCAATCGCTTCGTTAATATATATTTAAATATACCCATACAAAAAAAAAAAAAAAAAACACTAATATATAAACACATATAAAAAATTAGTTTTATATATATATTGATTATCACTCATAATTTTTATACACAATATAAACTATCAACCTTTTTTTGGGTGGGAAGGAGGAAGGATACATTGTCCCCTTCAAACCAGAATAGAAAGTCTGGCCTATGATGACAGATACTAATTGATAAGAAGAGGTGCCGATCTCCCTCTCCCAAGGTGGATGGAGCAAGAATCTACCTCCCCTCCTCTTCTCAAGATAGTTTGTTGCTCACCTTTTCTTAAAACCATAGCAAGCAAAGTTGGAACTGTACACCTCGTAGATCATATACAATTACACTTGCACTGTTCATGTTGCACTCTTGTCCCTTAGTCCAAAAATCTCATCAAAATTTGCCCCCCTCAAAAATTCAAAACCTATCAAAATATGTCCCTATCAAAAATTTTGATGGTGCAACTTGCGCCATGAAAACCCTTTCTAGGTATCCTTGTTGATAAGTAATAGAGAGTTATGGTGATAACTCGTACTATTACTAACAGAAACAATTTTAACATAACTCCATAGTCATAAAAATGAACAAAAATGGTGATGACTTTTAATTATCTTTTTATCCCTAATTTAAAAAAAATTGTTGTGGAAATTTATATTGGGCATCCAAATGATTAATATAATCAGCTTCATAACCAGATATAATTTATCAAATAATAATCAACCTTCAGCATTTTAAAAGTGGAAATTTCAAACTTCTCAAAGAAGTTTTAGTAAATTCATATCAAATTAAAATGAAAAAATTAATTGTACACCAATTTAATTTTTGGTTTTTTATTATAGCCAATCTTACTGATTGAAAATGGATTATGTAACTAAGTAGCATTCTATCAAAAGTCAAAATTATTGCAGAGACATTTCATCTATTAGAAATTAGAAAATATAGATCTAGAAAATTAAGCCTTATTGCCAATTACCCTAAGGGGTTCTAACCAGATTGTCAAAATTCCTTTTTTGGAATATCTACTAATTAAGTAGCCTCCCATGCTAAAATTAGATCTAAACTGGTCTGATGCATAATCTAAACTAAAATTATTAATTTTCAACAAGAAAAATTAATATATTTACTGATCATTTTTCTGAAATAAATTCAAATTAGTGTGTAAAAACAAAAAATTATAAATTATAAAATCTAGTTAAAGAATAAAAATGGAAAATAAATAACTGCAGTACAAGTATTTAGAATAAATAGTTTTACAGTAGCAATAGAAACTATCCTTAAATAAAAATGAGTTTGTTTTGTTGGGAAAATGATATATTGAAATTATTATTTTTTTCAGACAAAGAAGTTTAATAATTATATTTATGATTACCTGCTGGAATCTAAGTTTAGAGAATTACCTACCTATGTAGGTATTCATGTTATTCTACATATTCTATACATACTACATATTCTACATAATATGTAGATATTTATGAAAGTATACACATTCATTTACTTGTTTTTTTCTCTCAGGATGATTTACTTCTCCATTTTGAAAGAACTAAAGAATTCCAATTCACTGCTAATGGGTTTTTTATTGTACATTTACCGATACTGTGTTCAGTAAGTATGCATTAATTAAGAATATTTTGATTAAAGACATAACAAAAAGCTTTAATTTTTCTTAATATCTTTTTATTCTATAAGGCAAGACTACTGTATAATTAATAAAATTTTTACCTAAATGAGAATGATAAAATGCCTTTTGTAATGTGAATAACAGGGTAGAGTACATCCAACAGAACTTCTGACTCAACTTCATGAACGTTTCATTTCACTCTGTAACTATGTTCTATGGATGTAAAATTCTGAATCGACTTACCCAACATAAATGTAAAGCAAATTGTTACTCTCAAACTTTTTACTCTCACCACTAGGAGCTCCAGATCTTCTCCACCTTCATTCCATGTGAAGTCCTAGTCTACAAGTTGTTGTAATAGCAGAAGTTGTTGTTAGAGCATCATAATTCTAACCATTTCGAGTCTAGCAGCATTTATTCAAATCAGACATGGGCGGAATGAAATTTATTTAGCGGAAGATTCACAGAATGAATCTTGAACTTTCCAATCTGGTTAGCATTGGTTGATTATCTGAAGGATGATTCCCAATTTGTATGAGTAAAATGGCCAGTTAGAGGTTAAAATATGTGAATACAATTAATAAGGTTTAAATACAAAATTAGACTTAAAGAAAAAGTTTTTTTTTTTTAAATAGTGGAAAGTTAAACTAAAGAAGGAGAATTGGCATTCCTATAGCAAAATAAAACTAAAAAATAATAAAAAATTATTTTATTTTTATACCACTGATTGTAATGCATTTATATTATTTTTTAATACAAAACCTTGTTCGCATTTAATATTTACTCTGTTTTGACAGTTTTTTTCTTTGAGGTCTTCATAAAAGCTCAGCACTTCACAGAAAATCTTGAAAAAAATGTAAGATAGTCTCATCGATTAAGTATTTAAAATGACCAAGAAAATTGAATTCTGTCCTAGTTTGCAAAGAAATTAAAACATGAAAAGTATTGTCAACCAGCCCAGCTCTCTCCTATAAAATTTAGTATTGGGAAGTTATATGAAACAAATAATTTAAATTATAATTGACTCTTCTGTAACAAAAGACCAAGTGTGCATTTTTTAATCAATAACATTAGTTCTGACAACGATTAACTTTCAACTAATTTATTATTTGTCTAACTCCAGACACAAATGTTTCAATTGTCACATTGTAATTAATTTAAATAAATGCATTAGAATCATACCCCAAGTTTTGTAAATTATTTAGTTTTCTATCTTGCTTTTGGCCAAATATTCTTTGTAATACCTTCTTTTCAAGACCGAATAAAATTCTCATTTACACAGATCAGTAGGAATTATTATTGTCTTGTATATTTATATTTTCAAGAGTCTGGATATTAGTTGTAAAATCAATAATTTGTGAAAGTAAAAAGCACTTTATTGAATTTCATCTGGCTCTTATTTCATATTGACTTTTATTTCAATTTACAAAATTAAATTTGATTTACATTTTAACTAGAATTATTTATTTTATATTTCACAGATGATCTTGACTGGGACTACTTACCTAGTGATCTTGTTGCAGTACAGTGGAAGGAGCACATTCAAGTATGATGGAATTGATGATAATGTAAATTTGTTTTTTCCTCCTTGATTGAGCACAAAAATCTCAGAGACGTGTTATTTTCACCTTACCTGAAATAACAGTAAAATACCTATTATTTGAAAATGTAGGAATAATGATTAAGTTCAATATAAATGATAAAAACCATTTCACTTAATGTTTTAATCAAGTTTCAGGGGCCTGGTGAGCAACTATGACCCATAATAATAATATCAATTGGTTCACAGATGAACTCTCAAAAGTTTTGGTGCCATTATTAAATGAATCAAATACAAAAACAGATTTGTCAAAATAAATAAAATTAAGATCTAAAATTAATTATTGAACTAAGGCTTGAGGTTACAAACTGTACAGGAAAACAAAATCTTTTTTATTTTAATTTAAGATTAGATTTTAATATGAAACTTGTACAAATACAATCCATGGAAGGTCTTGGGTTCAGTACTTTGTAAGAAAGTACTCTTTCATGAACAATAGTTGTGCAGAGAGGTGTTCAGGCAATCAGGTTCAACTGCCAGATTTTTCTCCTGAATTGATTATTTAATTAATATTACCCATTTTATAAAGGCTGGGTGAGCCCCAGCCCCAAGAAGATCTACTGATCCCAGGATCGATCCTCAGCTGATGTAACAAAATAAATAATTATCTTCTATAGCTTGACTCGATGTGTGGGCCTTGAGCATAGGTAGTGCCTTTTCCACTGAGCTATGATGCTCGACTTTAGAATTTTAATATACCTACATTAAATTATTATAGTTAACTTGTCTATTAAGTTCCGATCTCAAAATATATCTACCTTTAAGCTAAATAGTTGATGGCTCAAACCAAATTGATGATTAAGAGTACCCTAAAGAAGAATTATACTCAAGGCTCATTATGACTCTTTCTCTAAATTTTTTTCAAATAAACCTGTCCAGCCAAGCCATTATCATGCACTTTAAATATTTAAAATACACAAAAAAAAAAACGTTCATTTTAAAATTTATTTTTCCTGTATGTCAGATATTTTAAACAGATATTGTTTTGTTTCAGTACTTAATGCCTGATGAGGACAACCTTCTATAACCTTTCAGTCTTCACACTCCAATCATTAATAATCCTTTAATAAAACTATTTAATTTGTGGCTTGAATATTATTGAAAGTTAGAATGGGCTGAAGATCCATTACCATTTTCTGAGAATATCTAGTATCACAGCTTATGTACTGCTTTTTATTTAGAATTATGATAATTGTATATCATTTGCAAATTTTTATGACAATAAAATACCTTTCATTCTTCAAAACAAATTATTCTTTGTATTTCCCATTAATTTGATGAAAAGAACGACAACATAGAAACAACCTGTTGTATTGGCAAACAAACAAAATTAGTTATACTATAATTACAACTATTTTATCAAACCCATGACAGAGGAGAGTTTATGCACTGGCCATGAGCACTTACCTGGAACAACAGTTAAAAAACCAATCCCAAATTCCTTATTAAAAATATTCTTATTATTTACTTGTAATTAATTCCTTATAAACATACTGTTGTTTTTGAAGTATGTATTATTTTATTTTATATTAAAAACTATTACCATAAACTATTTTACACAGTGTATTATAGGTAAGTAAACAACTTTTAAACTTATCTTTTTCTTTGAGTGCCGCCAAATTTTGAAATCCTTGAAATTTACTGCAACAAAAAAAGTTTGACATTCACTGGACCAGCCATTTTGCCGCTAGAGCGCTCCAAAAAAACATCGGAGAACCCAGTGATGAATAATGAATATAGGGAAAGTAATTAAAAACTGGATACAAACGAACAAAATGCATTTGTTTAGTGAGTGTTTCATAATACATATCCATCAGTAAAATTACGCACATTACAATAATTGTTGGGATGAATCGTTGCTGTCATAAGGTGGGCTACCTTAATCATCTAAAACAATCAAGAGAGGCTATTTTATGGATTTATTGATAGAAGAGGTGAGCAATCTGCTCAAGTTGAAGATACTTTTATAGATACCTTCGTTTTTCAAAGAACTTTTTTTTTTTAAACTCTGTGAGTGATTATTTGATTTTTATTTTTTTATTTTCACGATACGGCCTTTTAAGACCATGTGAATATCATTACTCTACCGTTCTTATTTTCGCTTTTCTCTTCTCATCCTTTGCTACATCTCTTTCGACCACTATTTTCCTCTAGAACCTTGATTTCTTTGAATTTATTTCCTAATCCTTTATTGCTCCTAATCCAGTCAATCTTTGGCTGTTATTTTCAATTTTTCTGTTTCCTTTCTGATTCGTTTTAGATATCCTCTTACGCTCTTGTATTCAGGGATTGTGCCAGACTTTCTTGTTTAGTCTCCCTCGGTCCATTCTTATCATGTGCCTGTAGAATCTTAGTCTTCTCATTATTTCGGTTTCTAGATCTTTTATCTCCCTGTAGATTTCCTGGTTGGGTCTTAACCAAGTGAGTGATTATTATTTTTAATAGTATCAAGAAATATCAAAGATCGATTTAAATTTTTATTTATAAATCAGGGGAAGTTTTAGATCAAAAATAAAATATAATAATTATTGCATAATTTTGTGAGAAAATAATTATCGATTTCAAACACTGGCCATAAGTTGTGTTGCCCAAATGCGAGACCAAGACGAGTCTTGGTCTTGCCCACTCAGTCTTGGTCTAGTCCAAGAGTCACGGAAAGTCTTGCAGTTAGTTACCTATTAGATTATTACTATGGAGATATTACTATAATTTTCAGATAGGAAAAACCTAACTAAGTCCGAATAAAATTCAAAGAAACATACACTTTTCTTTTCTTGGTTCATACATTTTTCGCCCAATTTACCTGTGTAACTTTATTTTATGAAATGTGTCAAGATCAAGTTACATATTGTATTATCAATTATTTACACTGATAAATATCTGGACAAGCTTTAATATCATATAAATTGTATAATGTATTAAATTAAAGGATTAGAATTTATTGTGGGATTGAAAGCGCTTTGACATTTGTATAAAGAAAATTGTCACAAGAAATTAGTGGAGCGATCAAAACTTTTTTCCTATATTTGAAATTTCACAGATATGGAAATATGGCCCCTTTTGGGGGCAACAACAAATGTTATTTATGAAAAATATACTTTTATATCATATTAATTGTATAATGTAATAAATTTTTAAAAAGTCAAGAATTACAGCAAGGGAGATTTCCGGGTAATCGATAAATTTCACCGGTTATGAAAATATTTCCCCTTTCGGGCGTGCTCTAGCGGCAAAATGATTAATCTTAAAAAAAAAAGTGTGTATAAGAAATGTAGGTAGTTTTGTCTACTTTAATTTTGAGTGGAGTGGATTTTTCGAAAAAAACTCTTCTTTTTTGAGATATAGGAGATATACACTGAAAAAACATTTGGTCAAAAAGTGCCCAAAAACCAAAGTTCCGGTCAAAATTTTTGAAAACAAACTTCAAATTCATGTTCAGCGACCCAAAAAACACAATGGTGAGAAAATCAAAACTATAGCAAAACTTGTTTCTGAGCTCCCATTTTTTTCTAATATGCATAGCATAAACAGGGAAATAAGGAGGCACTAGCGGATCCAGGATTTAATTGTTTTTTTGGGGGGGGGGCTTAAACCCGAAAGCTTTTTTTTCATAAAAATTACGATATTTACTTAGTAAAAAAATAAAGAAACTAACTATCTATATGAAATGTGATTAAGTGATTCATTAAGTCCTTTTAAATGTAACAATAATACTTTAAGGGATAATTTTTTAATATTTTTTCCATAAAACATGGTTATATTTTACCATTTTTTTGGGGGGGAGGCTTCTGCCTCAAAGCCCTCTCCTCCCCTTTCCCCCCGTAAATCCGCCCGTGTAAGGAGTTGATTTCTTTCCCGAAGGAACGAAATCAGCTTGGAGCAAATTCCCATGCCCTGTGAGAAATTGTGACACCCAATAATCAGAGGAGGCCCATTTCGCTTCCATCTTAGTATAGACGGTAGGAAAGTAATTTCTTAAAGTAGAACCTTTATGCGAAGTTACCCACTGCACAATGGAGTCCTTCTGTTCATGCATATTTCTTTACTTCTTCATACTTTTCAAAAATTACGATGTGGCCCATACATAAATCTATTACCGACGGGTTTTTTTAGTAATTAACAGTATACCTCAATATGTGGTTTAAAATATAAAAAATATCGATTATATGTTACTTTCCATGTCCCAATACTGTGAAATGCTCTGTTTATAATAGGGCCGATACATAAAAAGCGATTAAAAAAAAATAAATTTAGCTTTTGAGAAAACAAAATCATAATTCTTAAATTTAGTCATCAATAACAGAAAAATAATTTGAATTAATCTATTAAAATTCACATGTCATTGTAATATTTTGTAGAGTTGGCACTTTAATGTAATCATTTTACAGTATTATAACTTTACATCTGTTAGTAACAACGTCGCGTCTTTGACCGAATAATATTATGCTATTAGTTAGATTATATTTACCTAAGTTTGTTACATTCATGAATAAAGTATTAGGATATACCCCTTCACTTTAGAAATCGATCGAGGTCGTAGGACGATTGGTTTAGAAAGGACTAAACTTTCGCTCAAAATGGACTCTTTGAAATTAAGAACAAGTGCTGGAACCATAGTAACCAAAAGCCTGGAAGATGCTTTCTGGAAGCTGTTCAAGATGTTAAGAATCGCTGGTCTATTTCCAATGGACGATCGCTTGAGGGTTGTGCCTAGGCTAGCCTTACCCTCCGCGGTGTTTCTCATATTTCTCGCTGGGACGACCATTTTTTTCATATACGCTGATGATCGACTTATGATTATGTATGGTACGACGCATCGATTTCTGTATCGATTCCGTAAACTAACGGAAACAATCACATATTTCTTAATCGTTTACCAGATGTGTGTTAGCAGAGAGAAGCTGTTACAAATATTAGAAAATCTTATCACTATCGAGGCTTTGTTGGCTCCGTCAGACGAAAAGTGGGCATGGTCTTTGCGTATGATTCAGTACATGGGTAACGTTTGTCTGACAATTGTCCTATTCGTCTTCGAACGCTCAGTACTCCCATTCGATCTGAAAATAGCGATTCATTGGCTTTCGATGCAAATAGATCTAATATTAGCAGCCACTTTTGTTAACCAGTACTGCGCATTTATAGATCTTATAATGTATAGTTTGAAAAGGATAACGTCATCCAAACATTATCATCTGTATCCGAAACTTTATTGTTTGATTTACGATTCGTGTGAAATATTGAACGATGTATATGGCGTTATAATTTTCCCTATTGTGATGGTGTATTTTATTGGGTTGCTCCACCAGTTCTACCAGTTCTTCGGAGTTTCCGATAAACCACCGATGGTATTATTCAGTATCATTTGCTGTGGGGCGTATTATAGCATGTTGTTACTACAAATAATATTTGCCGGCAATGATATTTCAATGAAGGTAAATATATATATTATTTATTTAAAAAAATGTTTTATTTGAAAATATCACAATTAGGTAATTATAAAGTGTAATTAATATTGATAACTAACTCACATCCACACCCCATACGCATGGGAACAGCAACCCTTTCCTTTCTAACTTTATCAACAATTTAAAACAAAATAAAATAGCCTTAATTATAAACAACGAATTTCTGATAAATATATTAATAGTAACATTTGCTTTTTCCTATTTCAATTTCCTGCAAGCACTAGCGGATCCATGATTTAATTTTAGGGAGGGCTTCAGTCGGAATGATTTTTTTTCATAATCAATTAGAACAAAAAAACGAAAGAAATTAACTACCTATATGAAATGATGTTTAAAAGGTTCTTGAAGTGCTATTAAATGTAATTACACCAACAAGAATACTTTATGAGATAGTTTTTAATATTTTTTTCTATAAAACATGGTTATATTTTACCATTTGGGGGGGGGGGGATTCAGCCCAAAAGACGCCCCTCCCTCCCCCGTAGATCCGTCTGTGCCTGCAAGAAACCAATTTTCAACTAAGATCTAATTTTCTTTGAACTAGGATTTTTGCCTGGAGGGGAAGCCTAACTTTGCCGCTCCCTCTAAATAAAGGTCAAAATTTTAATCTACATTTTGAAAATAGAAACCATAATCTAGTAACATTCAAATAATTTTATTAAGTGAATTAAGAGAGCTCAAAGGCAGAGATACATATTTTTTACTTTATCTAAAAAAACAAAAAACAATTTGGTATTAATTTACAAGAACCTAAATTCTGCCTCCTGAGGTAAGTGTCATTACCCTCTCCTAGTTTCCATACTATGCCCACCCTTAAATTAAGATCCATCATTAAAATAATTAGCCTCCCTTTTTACTCACACTAAAGTTTTCCAATGTATAGGAGGTCTTCCTCTTTTTTCTTTTTTCAGACTCTCATTCCATCACCATTTTCGTATTTAACTTATACCTTTAATACATCGCTTATCCCTGTTTAATAAATTCGGTACCTTGGACTCCACCTGGACAAACGACTAATTTGGAATCCTCAAACCAGACTTAAGCGACAAGAAACCGCTAGACGTTTCAGACTACTCCAGCACTTACTAGACAAACGCTTTAAGCTTCCAGTTAATTACAAAAGACTCATAAACATTACTACAGTAAGAACTATCTGGACATATGGAGATGAGATTTGGGGGTCCACAAAGCCATCGAATTCCTCATGCATCCAATCCTTACAATCCAAAATCCTTCGTAAAATCCTCAATGCTCCTTACTTTGTCACTAATACATTCATCCATAAAGACCTTAATGTTCCTTACGTTTTCGAATTGGCTCAATCCAGATACTTATCCTTCCATAATAAACTTCAGAACCATCCGAACCATCTCGTTTCTAATCTTGCTTTCTATTCGATCCCTGATAACATTTTTTTTTAGAGTGCTACCAGTATGTAGTTTCTCAACAAGTGTCGTCGTGTTTTTATTTTCTGTTATCACATTTACTTAATTCTTTCTTAATACAGTTGAAAATGTCATAAATAAAATTAAAAAAAAAAAAAAACTTATACCTTCAGTTTTAAGTGACCCCTTAAATATAAATACTTAACCACTAGTTTTGCAAGAGATCTATACGGATATTTGCAATGTTTTAAAACTATTTTTAGTCGTTTTTTTATTATTATTTTTAAACTAATAGTAGCTTTAGTTAAAATTTGAAAACATATTATTTCTTTGGATAGAAGCGTATAAATATCCTTCTTTTGATTATTTTTTTTTATACCAAGAGTTCCTGTTTATGGTGAGTGAATTTTGCATGGAGGTACCCCCATACTCATAGTAGATCCAACAGCTAATGATACTTAAGAAACAACAGATTACAGAAGATTAGATAGTCCTAATGATAAAACTATGACACAGGGGTGCTCTGCACCTCCACATTGGTGATCACACAAACTAATGTTATAATTTCCACCTTGTAACATGCCACTGCATTCCTTCCAATTCTCACTGAGCTCTTTGCAAGTCATTTTCTCTTGCATTTCTTGTAACTATTTTCAATTTTGTACAGCATGACTGATAAGAATTATGAATAATTAACCATCATTATTTTTTTTTTCAGACAAAGAAATTTAATAGTACATTATATAATAGCATTGTAGAGTGTAAGTCTGCAGTGATTTATGTATGTATCCAAATGATATGTCGCTTTTACATAAAAATATTTTGTATCTCAAAATTTAATTAATTAATTTTTACTAGGATGAGTTACTTTTTCATTTTGAAAGAACTAAAGAATTTCTGTTTTCGGCAAATGGCTTTTTCATTGTAAATAAGTCAATTTTGTGTACAGTAAGTATTTACATATTTTAATTATTTTAATATAAACAGCCTCATAACAATTCTTTATTGAATTTAATGTTCTTATGTAATTCTGTTGAGGAAGGAAGAATATAATTTTACTGACTTAAACTTGCAAGTTGAAATAATTGAAATTTATTCTATTATTAAATATTTCTTAATCCTCAACATCAAAAAAGCCCCACTTTTGATTAATTTAAGTATTGAATCCTCAAACAAATTATCTGATGTTATTATGTAATGAAAGGCTAAAGATTCAATTTTTTACCATTGTTTGCAGGATTTGTTATGTTTTCAATAGCTAATTATATCAGTAGCAACCTGCGTAAAACAAACCCTATAAATTATAAATAGGCGCCATATTAAAAAATGGCTAATATTTTTTTTTTTCAGACTGGATAAGTTATTTTATTTTCCACAGATGATTCTTACTGGGACCACCTACCTGGTTATTCTGGTGCAGTATAGTGCAAGCAAATTCATGTCAGATGTATATATCAATCATGATTAAAGTATCTTTTTTAAAATAAATATATGAATTTATAACAAACCAAAATATGAGCTACATTGTTTACCAATATATTAGATGCTTTCTCACACTCTGGTTTTGTTTCAGGTGTGAATGATGAATAATACCTTCTATAATATTTCATGTTTTGTTTTTTAATTAAATAGTTAATCATTTTGCTTCTGTGTCTTGATTTGATAGAACTTGTAAGTGAGATTAGCAAATTAATCTCAGTACCTTATACAGCAAAAATATAGATCGTGGATTTTGTAAATATGAATTTTCTTAAATCCCTTAAGAATTCTTAAATGTGATAAGCATTCATTAAAAGTGAACTCCATACAGCTTCAAACGTTTTTTCAACCAGATTGGCTAATTTCTATTTATGTTTATTGGTCATTCTATACAACAAACTTATCTGTGATAATCCTTTTTGTGTTGAATACTAATAAAATATATAAATCATCAAATTGCCAATTCCATGCATGCTTTTACAAATCCAAATTAAAGTTGTTTTTGGATAGATACCATATACCATTCATTATTTGAGAGTCCACTGAAACTGTTGTTTCAGTAAGTTTTGAACTGGGGAGATAGTATTATACTGTTTGATAACTTTGTAAAGTTAACACTAATGTATTACTTTTCCCAACCAAAATACAAAAATAAATATAGTTTGACTTTGATTAGTTAGCAATCCAAGAGCGACCTCATGCAACTCAAAATTGAAATTGTTTTGTTTTTTCTCCAACTCTCCAATAATACTTACATAATATATGAACATAATGAAAGATTATATTGTATTCTTCTAATTTATGAATACATTTGTAAATATTTTAAATATAATATTGGGAAGTTAGGGAAAAATAAAATGTGAGTTTCAAATTTGTCCCACTCAACTTTGTTCTCAGGCTGCCAATTAATTGTGGTTGAACTATTACCACAAAGAAGAGTACTCCTGATTAATGTATTACAGGTCTTAGAAGCAGACTATTTTGAATTTCTATTTTTATATCTATTAGTTATTTTGGAAAAAATTACAGTGTTTGATAATGTTGTATGAATTATTAAATATACTTTCTTAATTATTAATAAAAATGAATGTAAAATAATTCAAATCTTTTTATTTTGATTTTTATATTTATTAATGGGTAATTTAAGAAAATAAAATTAAATATTTAACAAGTCTATTTGTACACATTTATGAATCTAGAACAAATTACATTCAATAATATATATAACAATATTATTGTAGAAATATACAACCAAATATACAATTTATAAAATTAGGCACATGGATAAGCAGACGCCTATTAAATTGATATTAAGAAAATGCTTAAGTGCTAAACATATTGTTTTGGACACAACCATCAAATGAATTACATGGCTTGATACAAAAATATAATTTGAAATTGGGGTTATTTTCAAATTTTTAGATATTTACAATTAAGTCTCATAGTAGTATTTAAAGAAAAGATGAATAATGATAAAATTGTCATTGACATACGATAATCGCTCTTCAATGTTCCAAAACATTTTGTGGCTGCTTATTTTGCAGAGTTTTTATTTTAAAAAATAACTAACACTTATCTCTACCTATTTGGAAATAAATATACTTTACAATACCATATGAAGACTTGAATTAATAATAGGTCTTAAGCAAAGTATTTTTGAAAATGTAGTGTAATTTAAAACCAATTATTTTTTGATAAGTAGAATTGATAAAAATAATTTACCTAATCGCCTTATATAAAACAATCAATGATCATTCATATTACTAACATTGTACATTAATAGTTATAAAAAAAAAAAAAAAAGGCGTTTGGATTTTAATACTAAATATTACGTACAAATAAAATTTAAACAATCTCTATGGGTTATTTATTATTAGAAATATTCACAAGCACCACCTTATTTTTATTTTTTTAAATGTAATCACATACCATAAGTTTTGTAGTGTTTAACCGTTTCTGTTTAAATGACTGATTTAAAAGACCAAGACTCCTATTATTTTCTATAAAAAGTTCAGTAAATAGATATTCTGGTCTAATTTCAGTACATGAAAAATAATATGAGTTCATTTTAATAGCAATAACAATTGAATTAATTTATTATAATTATTTTATATTTACTACATAAACCCAAAATATTTAAAAAATAAATCTTAATGTGCATCTCTCAGATCATTGCATGAGTTGGTGTCACTTCTAATCCATGTAATGGGCTTAAAGAATAACATGTGAAGGAAAATTGAAAAAAAAAAACAAAAAAAAAACCTAAACACTTTTAAGTGAGGTTAATACAAATTAGAGCTTAATTAAAAATAAAAAGAATTATTAATATAAAACAGATTATAAAATTTCTATTATAGAATATTTTAAAGCTTTCTACACTATATTTTCCTTAAAACATCTTTAACTTCAAGTCTTCAATCGTGATAACAGGTGGTGCTTGTTTGGTTCATTAAGGAACCATACTCAGAAAGCACCAAACTATTCCATTATAAAATTAAAACATAAAATTGTAAACATTAAAACAGGAACTTTCACGTGAGTACAACACTATATACCACCAACAAACTACTCATAAATGAAAATATAACTAAATATTATTTTCTTTCTATTCTTATTACTTTTGTTTATTACAATTCATATAATTTTTTTTAAAAATTTTTATTTACTTTTTTACACATCCTCGTTTATTTACTGCTGTACATAAATAATCATTATAGTTCAGCTGAAATTAAATTATATAATATATTTTGTATAAACTCTAAGAACATATTTAACAAATATAATTTAACTAAGTTAAAGCCTTTACTTTAACACCTCATTCATATTAGAAACAACATATATATTTTTTCTAAACTATTAAGCATCTACAATTCAAGCAATTACAACATTATATAAAAAATTACATCTATTGATATGAAGACAATATCAGTCTCCGAAATATAATTATATATAAATATATATTGAAAAACAAAACATTTAATCACTAGTTCATTATTATACATTATCTTAAAGTAACTTCATAAAATAAAAGTTTTTATTCATACAAAAATATTGTACTAGACATTTAAGTTACAATTATACAGAAATTATTTATTAAACAGCTTATGGTTTTTCCTTTTTATAATTTTTTTTTTAATTTTCACATTGTTTAAAAGATCAATGAAGTATCAAGAATAAAACTAAAATCAGTACTGCTCTGCTTGTTTTAGCTAAATATAATCTTCTGCGTCTTGCTAACAAATTAAAAATTTCATTCTAAGCACCGATTGAAAGTAACCATTGTTTTAAATATTAATAAAAATTAAAAGTTGTTTTAGAGAGATACTATTTTAAGTAAACTATGATTTAGGTGTAATAGTAAGTAATTGACCATTGAATGTTTACATAGAAGACATAATTTAAGTAGTTATTAATCATAAATAAATCATAAATTAGTTAATTAAAATATTTTTCATGAGACAAATAACGAGTATTGCTTTACCAAAGTTAGTACTTTGATTAAAAATTAAAGATTTTCATTTTTTTTTCTCCTAAATTTAATTAAAATAAGTTAAATTATGTACTTTTTTAATCGAAGAGAACATTTAACAGATTTTATATATAAAATTTTCAATCTACAATTTTTACCAATAAATGTTTTTTTATTTTTTACAGAAAAATATTCCAATAATAACAACTTTAGTGAAATGTTTTTTTTTAAACAATTATTTATTGTTATTAAATTCCAAGTAACAGTCATATGTTGCCATACATCATGATTAATTCCAAAAATTAATTTGAGGCCCAATACTTTTTTATATAAATTATAGCTAATTTCAATTGTTATCATTCATTACTTAGGGTCAAATGACCTTAAATTAAAAATTATAAAACTGCAGCAAGATTTTTCATTTATTAACAACAGCATAAATTTAATATAATATTGGTTTATCTTTATATGCATTGTTCAATTATTGGACGGATTTTGGCTAAGCACTGACAAAATTTATCTGATTTTATTTTGATGCTATAAACTTTTTTAATTAATAATTTTGTTTACTTTTTAATGTTTATATCAATAAAAATTTTTATTAATGTCTTGTTACTTTCAAATCAGACCATACTCAATAAAAAATCGGTGGAAGTGTATTTGTAAGTGGAAGTATTTAAATTAAAAGCACTTTATACACTGTCAGTTTAAATACTTGTAATTTATCTATGGAATTATAAGTGCCTCTTAAAAGCAACAATAAGTTATAGTAATCATCTAATTTATGTGGTTCTAGCATATTACAAAGTAGCAATAATAATTTAAATGGTACAATAAAAACACAAATACTTTTCTAATTACTAATCTATGGACTTTCTTTTTTTAATATAAAGATAAGTTTGATACTTGATTTAACTAATGTTATTGAAAATAATTTATACAAGTATACAATTAATAATTATTTATAAGATTTACTTTTGAAAAATAATAGACAGATTGTTTTGAAATAAACACTAATAAAGAGAGTGATAATTTTAGCTGATCATTTGCAGAGATTCAATACTTTTCTAACATTTAAATGGTGGAAAGTAGAGATTTAAAAACTTTAAAACTAATATATAAATATTATAATGAATACTTTCCAAATGCCAATTAATGAAGACAAACAAGGCCAAACTCTAAAGGGGCAAAACAGTTTGGCCAATATTAAGGTTTTGTTGCAATCAACAGTACAGAACATTATAAATATGGCTTTTTAAACTATGCCATTATTCATCTAAAAAAAGTTATAATGCATACAATTCTATTGCCTATGGTCAATGAATATCTTTCATTCATAATTATTTGAGAGTGTCGTAGTTTTAAATTGGAGACAAGAACAGTGGATAGATAGTTGGAACATCGGCCAAAAAGATTTTTTAATTCCTAGAAACTTTAACTCCATATAAAAAGTCTCATTAATGTAAATTTATTCAAAAACTTGTCTTGTCTGTTGGGCAATATCTGTGTTTGGGGTGATGGAGATCTCATTTTTAGTTTTATGAGCTATATGGTTAATAAGAAAGGCTAAATTATCCCAACCAACTTGTCACCCAAAGCCATGAAATTTTGTACAGTTTAAAGCTAAATTTGAATCTCTGATGGAAAATGTATACAAAAATATTGCAGTAGCTGTCCCTATTAAGTAAAGTGCCAAAGTGTTAGGACTTTTAATATTTTATTCAATGAATGAGAGAACATTACTCCAAAACTAGAATAATTTCTTTAAAGACATAAGCAAAACTAATGGACCTAACTGACTTGGTAATAACTTTTCTATAAAACTCAAAGATAGTTCTCAATAAAATGAAAAGCTTTTTCTGGAAGTTGGAAACTAAAACGTGACTCTAGTTTTGATGTAATGTTACCCTCCTCCCCCTTCCTACCAGTTGTAAAGTTCTTCTCTATCTTTTTTAATGTCCAAAATTTAATGTTTAATAATAAAATTTATTATTAAGAAATAATACGATTAAAAATTAATATTGTAATATTATATATTAGACAAATCGTTAATTTTTTCTTAGAAGATTTTACAATAAACAACCAGATATAAGAACTGAATTTCAAGTATAAAAAAGTTTGTATTTTGAAATACAATACAGTGTGTTGGCGAAATCATGTCAGTTAATCTAATTAAAAATCTTTTTACAATAACAAAACCTAGATTTAATAGTTTTAATAAATATTACAATATTTATAACAACAAGGAACAATCGGAGCATGATTTTTTCTCCAAATGAATATATTACTCTACTCCTAATGGAAATGCAGATGATCTTTATTGAAATAAGAGAAGAAAACATATTGGCACATGTATAGATGTAAATAGATATATATACACACCCGATAATAGGATTTCATCTAAAATCTTAGAAGTAGAATTTAAGAGACAAATAGCTTTTACTATATAAATGTTTTATAAGTCGCAGGTTTTTGTTTGTAATCAAATTAAGAAATATCTACAGATACATAGTAAATTTTTTGAAGTGAAAAGATACTTTTTAGTTAGTAACAGAAAGGTCACTACAGTATTTATTTACAAACACTTTTATCTGAATTGTATGCCTATTTCTCTTAAGATAATAGGCATAAATCTAATAGAACTTTGAAGACATTTAGCTTTCAAAAATCAGATACATATAAAACATCAGACAAGAGAAAGACCTACTTATAAAAATAAAAGTCTTAAGATTCTGGTATTTACACTAACTAGTAATTAAATTGGATGCTCTTAACTTGTGAAATGTATATATTTAAAAGAACACGTAACTATGAGGATGTTAAATTATATTGTGAATTAATAAAAGTATGGGAACATAAGTGAAAAAATAGTTCACTTAGTTAACAATTGCATCACTAATCTTTCAAATCCAATTTTATCGAGAGAACGTTAAATAAATGTTGGTATACGTGGACGAGGTTAGCCGATCGGGCTTATGTGGGTGCACAGCACCGCCATTGCCTGGCAACCTGATATAGAGACAATGGATTTAAAATATTCACGAGTTCACGTTTGGCTGCCGGGGGAGTCTTTTAAATCCCCGACCGCACACCCTGGCCCGGGAAAACCCCGTATAGCCTTAAAAGCGAGGAAGTGGAGGACCCACAAAAAAAACCAAGTTTGTATTATTATTGTGGGGTTTCAGTAATTTAATAAATCAGAATCCAGTCCACTAAAAATAATATAAGGAAAAATGGTTTTCCAGTTCTCTTTTGTTTTTTAGTGTTAAAAATAAAATATTGATATATTTTTAGATAACACATTTAATTAAAACTAAAAAATGATAGCAAAGAACCAAATGATAAATTAAAATTAAATAATAATAAATTATTATTCCGAAACGCAATAAAATTTGTAATTAATTAGCCAAAGAACTATATGTTTAATTTTATTTATTCTTAATTATGAATCTATTCCTGTCTATATATTTTCAAAATCATCTATAAAAATTAAAATTATACAAAGAAATTACTTCTCATATTATTTTTAAAAAAATCTGGTTAAGTAGTTTAAGAGATTTTCATTACTCCAAAATCAAACTAAGAAGTATAAAGTAAGTTTATAATGTTACAAACATTAAAATTGTAATTTATTTCCAATATTTTATCCCTTATAAGATCCATTTAAGTCAAACTATAATATGTTTATTTATTTATTTTATTTTTGTTTTTATCCTTAAATGATGAATTTTAGAATGTCTTAAACATATCTTAGTCAAGCTGAATACTATCAGACTCCTTCAAACACTTAAAGAAACATATTCTTGTTTACATTTATAGTTACACAACTAAAAATAAAAGCTACTTTGTCACCATTAAACAAAAAGCCTTATATCACTGTTTATGAAATATTGGGTACAAGACGATAACAGCACAACTGTTGAGTAACACGAATAAATGAGGATGTGCCATTCACTATGATAGAACTTAATTATCTTTATAATACGTTCAATACAAAATTTTAAAAAAGCACTTTTTTTTTAGTTGTGCCACTACCAAACCAAAGCTATATAAGCTATTTTGTAAAACTATATACAATCTTTAATTAAATAAATTGAAAACAAAATTTTTACATGAAATGATTATGTTAAACATACAAATAATAGTGAAACATTATTTGGCCCACTAGTTCATTTTGGTTATCAAAGATAGGCTATATTTAAAAAAAATAAATGATAAAATCTCGTTGTTGATGCATAGATCATATTTCCTAAATCATTTATCAGAAAATATTACTTTTTAAATCTATCTACTATACAATATTATCATACAAAATATAATAATTAAAAATATTTAAGAAATATTTGACTATGTTAGAGGCGCAGTCCCTCTTGAGGTAGAAGCAGTTGTCGCAAGGCTTTTGAACAACTTAAGTCTTTTAGACAATTTAGATTTGAGCTTCCAAAAATACATTGAATCAGTAATCAGTTTTTTAAAAAAAAGTAAAAAAAAAAAATACAACACAAAACCTAGTATCAGTCTAATTTGATATAACGTTATATATAGTATGTTAGCAGTTATAAATTATAATTTAAATCTGGTGATTACTTAAATAAAATAAAAGGAAAAGTTTATAATAAATACGAAAACAATAATTCATCAAAACTTAATTTCCTCTTAAAATTATTGCAGATCTACAATCTTGTAAATTCAAAGAAGGAAATACAGTTGGAAAATAAAAAAATAAACATCTCAAGGTAATTCATCAGCTCTGTATCGGTTGATTAATCAGCCAGATGATAGAAAAATATTAATGAATTTGTGAGACACTAATATTTTTTTAAAAATTGTTTTATATACAAATTAAAAAATAAACTAAGATTCTAATTGTCCATAATCTGAAAACTATAGAAAGTGCCACTTTCTAGAAGTCACAAAATAACATTAACTTTTTTCCAAGCTAATTTCTAATATAAAACATTTTTTACAGAAAGAAGTTAGTGTATTTATATTGTTCATACACTTGTTTCCGATCTTGACCTTGCAGTGAAGGGATTCAATTCTTCTTCTTGTACGGTAACTTGTTCATCAACAAAGTTAATGCTTCCAGCCTTATACCAGACTATGACATCTACGAGGAATGCACAAAGAAGAATGGCTCCTGTAGTCCCTGTAGAACAATAAAATTAAAAGTGATTTAAATTTCCTGAGAATTCTACAAAATCAATCTTATGCTAAAAATAAAATTTATTTTATCAATCATTATCCACAAATTATCAAGTGCTGTCCGAAGTATATTTCCATTTCTCATCAATAATATCTTACTAAAAAAGAATTATCAAATTTCATCTATAGTCTACATTAGATAATAGTTATATTAAATAATTCGAAAGATAGAAAAAATAAATTTTAAACACCATAATCTCATTTCTCAACTTCAACTTCCTGGCTTTGCTAATTTCTATCATACATTAGAAGTCTCATTAAAAATGTTTGCTTCGCAGTACCATTTGCCTAAATGTTTAAAGTTGAGAACAATTTTCACTGGTTCTTCTTTCCTATTCACGGTTTTCTTTCCCACCTGTTGTAGGCTGAATTAACAGGTCATATGTTCTAAACCCACCCTAACTATTCAGTAAAATTCTGCTTCTCAATTGGTGAAAACATGTGAGAATTCCACACACATTTTTGTTGTTCATCATTTGAAAGGCTTTATCAAGCAACTAAGCTATTTAAAGATTTATGTTTTTAATTCATCTATATAGAACGTGGTGTGTTCTAACAAAACAATCCGTAAAAAAAAAATAAAAAATGAGATTTGTCATTTGTACGCCCAGTTTTTATTTATTCTAAGTCAAATTACATCATAATGATTGTCTATATTTTGGTGCAGGATCAATTGGTTTAATGTAAGATTCACTCATAAAGTATCCTATAAAATTTCATACATAATATTTAAAAAACTTATCATTTCAACCTGATGAAAAAAATTAGTAGGATTCCATTAAAATCCATATTACATGTTGTTTTCTTTACGACAAATTTTTCAACATAAATGTATGTACTAATTTGTCTATTATTTTTATCTTCCTATTATGATGGATCTATGAGCAATTAATGATTTTTATTTAGAATTTTATTTCAACTTACACTTTAAAAAACAACTAATCTCTGTGATTTAGACCACATGATAAAAGTGAAAACATCACTAGGTGATATTAATAATATGAAATATAAATTATAAATAATAGGGCATTATAAAGAGGATGAAATGTTGAACATCTCTTTCTTACAGTATGCAAGTCCAATTTTTAATTTCTTAGATACTTTAATCCATATCTTCAATAAAACTCGTTATAATTTAGTTTTTGGAACTATTTTTTCCCTTTTCGCCCATCTAACATGGCATCGCATTAACATAAAATTTTGAAGAATAGCCCATTATAAAGAATATAAAATGTTGAAAAATTCCTTTATTTACTGTATGCAGATACGATTCTTAGTTTCTTGTAAATTTTAATCCAAATCTTGGATATAAAACTCCATATCTTTGAATCAATAAAATTTGTTATCATCTGGTTTTCGACACTCTTTTTCCCTTTTCGCCTCACTACCATGATGTCGCGTTTAGATACAATTTTGAATAATAGCTCATTACAAAGAAGATGAAATGATGAACATTTCCCTTGCTAAAAATATGCAGGCCCGATTTTTAATTTTTGATATATTTTAATCCATATGCAAAACACTTCAGTTGATTCCAGCCGACTTTAACCGAGGGTTAAACATCGGAGATCTGACGTCTTAATCTAATTCACTCTCCACACAAAAAGTGCAAAATGTACCTAATGTTTTCACTTCAAAAAAAAAAAAAAAAAAGTTTTCAGTTTGACACTTGTCAGGAGAATAGGCCATATAAGTAATTAGCTTTATTTTTATTTTTATTTTTCTTAATGCATGACATTATATTCATATTAAATTTTATTATTGATTAATATATTCATGACTTACTTTCTTCTCCTTTATAGGTTCTAATTTTTCAGAATAATTTTAACATTGATAAGTGTTTATAATTTGTCATACATTGACTTCATATATTTATTTTAATATTTTTCAAAAAAATCTGACTGATTTATTTTATTAATAATGTATTATGACCAATGACAGAACAAGCAATCTTTTTAAATTAATTTTAATTTAAACGAAAATTAAATAGAATATTCAAGGTGGAATTGTTTGCATTGGTCTTTACTAATCAAGCTACAAGATGAAAATGGTACAAAAATTATTGAAGGTAATGCATTCAAATTTAAAAATACAAAATAAATAAAAAAATTACATTATGTTTCTCTTACCATGATAAAACATTCTAAAAAAGTTTCCATCATAAAGCATACAAGCACCTTTCTTTCCACATGCTGTGTCCCATATGAGACACGCTGAATCAACAACAGCACCATAAACTATTGGGCAGGGTACGTTACCTGTAATAGTAATGAAATATATTTCCAAGTCTGAACATTATGTTTGCCACAAATAAACAATAGCAAGTTTTAATAATTATATAATCACATATTATTAAATTGTAATTGAAAAATATATAATCCAAATATAAATCAATTACGAGTAAATGTAATAAGAAACTCACCAAAGAGGCCAATAGCGAATTGTATCAGTCCAAGGGCCATTGCTTTATCAGTAGGATCTACGCATCTCAGTATAAGTAACATTGAACCGACCTCCGACGTTGAGTGCACAAAGACAAACAACGAGAAAAGTAGAATGTACCAAGTGAAGTTGCCACAGCCCAAATCGCAGTACCCTGCAGATGCTATGTTTTTCTCACCAGCGGGTAACGTCATATTTGAGATACAAACACAGTTGGAAAACTACAAATATAGATCATTCATAGTTAATTTTAATTAATACATAAGTAGATATATGTATTCAAACATGTAGGTTTGAATACAGTTATATTATTAGTATATAAGTTTATAAATAATAAATATATTTTTAATATTTTTTTGTGTTTAATTCCATTAGCTACTCCAATTAGAGGAGGATCGACCAGGAAGATATGTTTATTGATGGATAATCAGAAATGAGTATTATCAATATATAAATAAAAAAAAGAAGATTTTTATTCATCAATATACATATTTTTGTACTCATTACATTAATTTCAAAATGCAAATTTGAAAGTTTTAATTTGTCAACAGAGGAATATAAATTTTTATCCTTATATATTATCATTTTCTGGAATATTAATGCAAAAATTGGCTTAGTAATATTGATTTCTAAATAAATTGGTATTTTTAATTTTTAATACCAACTATTTTTGTGATATTTAAATAAGATAAGTCCTAAAATTTCACTATCAAAATTATTAAATATGTATGATTATATAATTCTCAGAATAGCGAAATTAATTTTTACACCTGCATTTTTTGTAACAAATAGCTATTAATAATTAACTAATTCAGTTTCATAAAAAATATCTTCATTATTATTGTCAACTAGGTAATCACTCCTTTCAAAATAACTATGTTCCTCAAAATGCCAAGCCATAATATTAGGAATAGGTTATTACAAAACCTTAGGAGTATATTATATTGCTACATTATCAATTTTTCAAAACCATTATGTTAAATAAGGGTGAAAAATGGTAAAAGAAGAACGTTTCAGTGAAATAAAACATAAAACCAGCATGTAAATGCTACATAATACCATACAATAAAGTTGCTTCATACTTAATCTCACGTTTTTAAAAAATAAAATAAAATAACATTGATTTTGATTTTAAGTTTTATTTTTATCTCTGTGTGGATAAAAGCATAATTTACAGTATATATAAAATATCAGAGGGTATAATAGAGGAAATTATGCACACATTGGATGAATGGGCTATCCCAATCTTGAATATCTTATACCCTTTATGCTCGGCTAATGACCCAATTCACTAAAGACTCACAGTATAATGCCAGTTAAAAAAAAGACGACGAGGACCTTTATAATATAGAAAAGGGGGGTTTTCTTTAATCTGTACAGGATATCTAGCTTGCCATAGACTTCACAATGGCGTACCTTCCTGAAGCAGTTAATTACATATAACCAAAAGGGAGATTAGGTTCATTAATTAAGAACCATCAGGTTTTATCAAGTTACCTTCCTTTTGTATAAGACCAATGATCCGAACATGGCATGGTGATAGATCAAGAAGGCATCTAAATAGCTATAGTAATTGTATTCTTTTTTTTTTTACTCTTACTTTTTTTTTAAAGCAATACATACTTATTTTGCATTGTTGATTTAGGCCCATCTTTAATGACAGCAATTACATGTACAAATTCAGCTTGAAGACATTTATATAGAAAATAACTCTAATTAATAAGAAAAATAACTATAATTGAAAAGAAATGTAATCATATTATTTTTTTTCTAGTTTACTTTTTTTTTAAAAGCAATACATACTTATTTTGCAATGTTGATTTAGGACCATCTTTAATGACAGCAATTACATGTACAAAATCAGCTTGAAGACATTTATATAGAAAATAACTAACTAATAATAAAAATAACTATAATTGAAAACGAAACATTTATAAAATGTTACAAGTAATCTCCTGTAAGTTTTTTACTAAAATTAAATTAATAGCAGAAATTATCAAAGCAATAAAAACTTTACAATTATTATCATAAAAAAGAATAAATTAAGAAATATCAAACAAGCACTTAAAATAATTCGAACATAGCTATCAATAAATTATGAGTAATAAACAGTTAGAACACAGTTAGTTTATAAGATTTTTATTGTTAACAACGATTCAACCAATGCTTGTGGGTCATCATCAGCTGTACTGATAAAGCTGGGGATTAAGTGGCAACAATTAAAATCTTAAAAACTAACTATGTCCTGAATATTTGTCACCCATGATATGTAGAACAGCTGACTAACTTTCTTCAATATTAATAAATTAATTACCAAATCACGATGATATTTTAAGATCACTTCATAAATTGTTAATTTACCTGTGGAATTCTACTTTAATAATAAAGAGAGTTATATAATGTTTAATTAATTCAGTCTATTAATAATACCTCAACAATAGATCCATCTATGATTGAATAATTCTGGCAACCAGCATCACATGGAGAAAAATATGTCATCCCATCTTTTCCACATACTGGACTGAATTTTGATTCATCACAATTGCAAACATCTTGACAGACTGGCTCAAACTTGGTTACGCTGAAATAAGAACTATAAGGAAGTTATTACGTATAAAAATAGTTTTTAGCAATTAAATATAAATATGTTATTCTTCGATATGTCTGCTTCTGTAAAGTATAATTTCTAACTTTTTCATTACAGAAAATCATGGAGTTAATTGTTAGGTTTAATTGATTTTGTAGTAAGATAGAAAGTGAAAGGTATTTTATCAAACATCTTTATTCATCATGTTGGAAGTATTTGAATATATTACTTTAAGTTTAGGGTTTGTTGCATATACCACAGTTAAATGTATATATATCTGTAAAACATGTGAGTACTGCTAGATTCATACTCAATGTTTCTAATTAATGTTGATCTCTATTCAGTTTTGAGTTTAAATTTCTTTCGTTATTATAGCTCATTATTATTCAATAGATACAGAAGAATTTCCCTTAACAATTGTATTTTCTCGTGGGTGATATAAGTCCATTACATATACATAATTTTAAAATTCAAAATATGATTCCACAAAGTAAAAAAACTTACCCCATTTCTTTCTGAAGACCTGCAAAGTCATTCATTGGGCAACCAACAAACATAAGAATCCCCATACCTAAAAACAAAATGAAATAATTTTTCTCGAAAAGGAAAATCAAAATAAAAAATTGTCTATAAAATAAAATAAAAAATACTCAAGGATCACAGTTGAGTTTTTATTTACAACATCTATTCTCACTAATTATGTTATTGGTTAGTGGAATAGTTAAAAGTAATTACTCCATTATAAAAAAATTACTCCATATCTTTTAAATTAGAAATTGAAATAATTTTATTAATTTGATAAGCCAAAAACTGTTTTAATACAAAGAAATGCAACATTATAAACTTTTTTAAAACTCATTGCTTTCCCTCAATTCATATTAGTTTATTATAATATTCATTATCAGGGCTTAAAACAGTTATTTTTTTTTTTTACAAATGAGTTTAACTTAAACTGTTTGAAAAAACTTTTGTCAATATGAAGTTAAAAGTAAAAGTTTTTTCTAAAATGTTAAATGAAAGTTCTAACATAAAAGGTTTTTACTTTTTTAATCCATGCATAAATGTCATAAAAAAGCATTTGTTAAACTATTACTTATTCCCTCTAAAATAAAAGTAATAAGTACAAACAATTACAAATTATAATACAAGTTAGTAATTATTACATGCTCAGTACTCAGAATGGAAAACTAATAAATTCTGGTGATATTGGAAAATATTTATATAAGTTAACTTTGTAGAACATTATACAATGCAAAGTTTTATTTGTTAATCAGAATTGTTTTTTTTAGAAAAGTAAAAGCTTTATTGTTTTTGAATTAACATAATAAATACCATCTTGTTACCTAGTAAATATTTGCTATGTTAAAATGCACAGAAAAATTATTATAATGTTTTATATAGATATATACTGACGATTATATTTTTTGTTAATTAAAACATAAAAGCATATTCCTTTTTTTATTAAAATCTATTCAAATAAATGGATTGTAAGAACTTTTATATATAAAGTTTTACTAATGAGGTTTGAAAATAAAAGTTAAGACAATAACTGTTTTGAAATGGTATGCATCAATAAAAGTAAAAGTTTAACAAAAACTTTTATACATCCACATAAATAGGAAAAAGAAAATTTTTTGCTTTTAATTATAAGAGTTACCTGTTTTATTTTACTCCTGCTTATTAAATTTAAATATAAGAGCAAAAAGTAAATAAAAAAGAAAATGGTAAGAAACTTCTATTTGTTTACCAATTGCATAGACTACAGCAGTGAAAGCAATCCAGGCAGCGACAAACCTTGCATTTGGCTTCACTCGCAGAATGAACACACCTGACAGAATGATCCCAAGACCCATCACTAAAATTCCTCCTACTCCTGTGAAATAAAATAGTAATATGTATTTAGCAGAGTGCTTTCATAGTCATTTTATTAAACAAAAAAAAACAAAAAAAAAAAACAGACTATAGAAACAGTTGACATGTTTATTTAATAACATTATTAAAGCTGGATGACACAGAACTTCTATACTGAATGCTATTAATTAAATTAATTTTAATTAAAAGTCTTGCTCGTAAAAAAAAGTTCTTTATATTGATAAAGTGCTTAGATACCTGAAGTCAATGACAGGCTGGTTGTTGCTTGGTTGTTTGGTACTTACAAGTGAGTCGTTTATTTCCAAACTGAATCCTAATCATCATTGATGATTTTTCAGGAAAATGCAAAAAACTATATTTTATATTTTAGTATAAAAACAAATATATATTTAAAAAAAATAAATTAAGAAATTCTTTATTTGTAGAGCACATTTCTGAAAAGCATTGATTATTTCAATATTTATTTTAAAACATTGTAACTTAAATAAGGCTGTTTTGGGAACAAATTATACTTCTAGAACTTCTAGAAATTTTAGAATAAAAAAAGTTGATTCGGGTTCAGTTTGGAGAGAAACAATTGTGTATGATTGGAGAGAGGGGGGAGCGGCTGAGAGAGAAACTTTAAAATTGAACTATAAAAATTCAACTTTTTGTTTACAATAATGGCGAAATGACATAAATTTATATTTCATTTTCATTTAAATAAAAAGTTTCAAAAAAGCTTTCGATGCATTTTTTTTTAAATATCTAAGAAAGCAATTTATCATTATATTCCTTGAAAATAAAGAAGGCTGCTTTTGGAAACGAACTTATATCCTAAAACATTTTCTCGATATTATGCTCGTTAAAAAAAAAAAAATAATAATAATAAAATATAATAAAAAAAAATAAAATAATAATAAAAAATAATAATTAAAAATAAAAATAATAATAAAAAAAATAATAAACATAATAAAAAATAAAAAATAATTGATTAGGGTTCACTTTGGAAATAAACAACTCAAGTAATACATACAATGAGAATTTTCAGAAAAAATAAAAAGAAAGATAGATCATCCCATCCCGGTCTAGTTTAGGTAGAAAACATTTAGGAGAGGTGTTGAATTAGTAAAGTATACGATCAACAACACGTGTTGTAATCTAGCCCACGTTCATCGAATTATTGGAATTACAACCACAAAAGCAATGACTAATTGATAGCCTGGGACTAACATACATAATAGTTATATTGAAACTGACATAATAGTAACTAAGATTTGAAAATCCAAACTGCTCTCCATAAAAAATATTTAATAGAGACGTTGCATTTTGGAAAAGACCTGCCATATACCTCTACATTTCTGACTTGTAAACAATAGGAAACATTAAGCAATGTTTTCCTTTATGATGAAATCACAATCAAGTTATGCAACAGGTACTTTGGCAGTAACGCTGAATAATGATAAACTAGTTAATATTTATCACCAGTATGGATTTTATCTTATTGACAAGCTAAGCACACAAATTTTTTCTTTTGCAATGCCTATACAGGCTACTCAATGAAGAATGTCTTCATACATAAACATTTTTATTGATCAAACAGTATCAGTTAATTTTCATAACATCATCTTCGGCGTTTTCTAAATTTAAAACCTACTTATAACATTTTCCATGTTAACATTTTTAAAATATTTATTACGATGTATCTCCAATACAAAATTATTAATAAAAAAGACTGATCAAATGCTTGAGAGGCATTCATTTATTGATAACAAATTTTAAAATAGTAAAGACGTTTCCTTTCGATTTTTATGGATTTATTCAATGATCAAACAAATATTTACAATTCGGTTCACTAAAAATATTTAAAAAAATTATGACTAAATTATCACTTCCTGAATATGAGATACTTCAACATTAAAAATAATAATACTGATTATTTAAATTAATAATACATGACTGCTGTTAATGAGTGAACTAGAATATATGTTATTACACTGTTTAAGGATAACTAGATTTTTCATGGTGCTAAACATTTATGTACAGTTTTGTGACTTTAACCTTATTTACTGATATGAAAAAACAGTAAGTGTATCAAATTGCACAAAACTCTTTTATACATCAAATATTGTTATACAATATATATATGTGTACAATATTCTGTATTTATTTTTTATTATTATTTTTTTTTTTATTATCCCCAGTTTCTTAAAGGTTTGTTTCTTACATATGGTTGACATATTCCTTTTACTATATCTTAGATACATTTTAAGGTCTTCCTGAGCCTTTCTTAGTTTTCTTTATCTTTATTTCTGGACTTTAATCTGAGGGTGATGGAGCTGGTTTCACAGAGAGAAAATTTTTCAAAGTACTCAATGATTTAATTTTGCGAGATATTACTTAATGAAATTTTTTAATAAATCAACACTAACTGAATACAACTATAGCTGTTATACAATATCTAAATATTAAATTATTTTAGGACAATATATTATTTTTCTTAAATTTTAATGGTGGAAGAATTCACAAAATATTACTTTATGACTATAAATGAATTTTCCAAAATATTTTTTATAATTATAGAATTATATACAGGAAAAGTCCGCCACTAAGCCTGTCGGGAGATTTGTCATAAGGCGCTACTAGATACAATTTTGCAAAACAGAAATGCCAAGATGCAAATCATTTTAGGCGTATTCGCGATATTATGTTAATAAAGTATATTTTCATTATTTATTTATCATTTTCATGAATACATTTTTTATACATTAGATTACATTTAATGTTGAAGTAACGCATAAAAAAATTGTGTAAACGATCTTTTTTTTTAATAGGTTAAGATTGTATTAGTTTATATTTAAACCTTAGTATATTTTTACTGACTACCACATTTCACAGCCATTCAAGTGGTAAATGAAATTTGATAATACCGATACCAGACCCGATAGATAAATAGAAAGACGCGTTTTTGAAATATAAGTGTATTCAGGAAAATACATTTTTTTCGCATCCATTTGTAAAAGCTACAGGTATAATTTGTTGAAATTAATACTGAATCATTTCTTCATTAATCCTTATCTTTTCTCTAACGTATTGCCCAATCGAACCATCAATTCATGAAATATAGCTGTATCAATCAGAAAAACATTTGTGCCTCTCCCAGCTAATTTGATGAAATTCCATCCACTGTATCCTACACACTATCACAAAACCAACAATATCTACAAAATTTCATAGAAATCGGTTAATGGTAGTAGAAGATATGCAGAAAAGAAGAATTAGACAACCAAATTTGTTTCTTGATGTTTAAACCGTCAAACGCGAGATGAAATTTTCAATTTTCATCACAAACATTTTTATAATAAATATAAAACTCTCTACTTTGGGAAGTAAGCAAGATTAATAATTTTAAAAAAAGCTTTTGGATCACACATTTGAATTTTATTTTGATGTTTAATATCTCGATGGCTCAGTTCAAAACTGAAACTACTCAAAAATCAATGGTTTTCAGTTTTCTTCTGATACCTATGGCCTGTAATCTCTCATTCTCAGAACAAATAGCACCATTTCAAAATTTCTTCAGTATTAGTGTAAAAGTTGATACTTCGTTCTGGAATATTTCATTTATTTTTTTTAAACAGTTTGAGCTCGTATATTTCTAAACCTTGACTTCTGAGTTGTATCAGTTTTGAACTAAGCCATCGATATGATAAATGTATCTGATTTATTTACATCTATTTAGTAAGGGAAATATATCGTCAATCAGCAATAATTTCCGTTGCGAATTGGAATTAGCATGGTAATGCGTAGGAAAGGAAAAGAATACAAAGACAAGCCATTGAAATTTATGCAGAATATTTCAAATTCAAAATGTCTTCTGCAACTTTCTCTTGTAAAGAACGTGAATATTTGTATTTTTCAAAGAAACGATTTTCGTCACGGTTTCAGCAAAATTTTTAGAAAGTTTTGCTAGTGAGTGTTTCAGACTTACCTAGAATGAAAGAGAAAGGTTGGAAAAAATAGGCGCATGGAATTTTGCGTTAAAACTTTGTACTATAGTTAAACGCTAAAGAGGTCATTTAAAAATGCATGGTTAGTGGATTACTGTTCTAGGATCTTGAAAATCTTAAATGGTATAAGATTTAATATTTATAACATTGTTTGGAGTAACGTTCAAAAAATAAAATTCTGAGGAAAATAAAATTTTAAAATGTTTCCCAATATTTTGGCTTAATCTACAGGCCTAATTAATCATTCTTCGTTTCTTTTGAAGCATTATACAATTTTTCACATATAACTTTTTAATTTAGGTGCCTGTTTTTATTTTATTTTGTCTAACACCTTATTGACTTATTTGTTAATATTGCATGCAAAACCATTCGTCCACCAAGTTTATTCAATTTTATTTAACTTATATAGGTACATTTATAATTTTAATTAGAGTATCTTATTTATGATGATATTATCTTATGATTAATCAAGCCTAGGATTTTCGTTTATATTACTGTCATTCTTGTACTCAATTTTTTTGCGTTTTTATGGTATTCATTTTTCATTAAATTTTTCTTATGCAACTATTTATTTAGGTTCTGTATTTCAATGTCGAAACACATAAATCAATAATGTTTTGACAGTATTTCTATTTTCTTATTGCATCCCAACGGACATTTCCTTGATATAATAAATAACTGCAAATAAACAGAAACGATATAAAAAAGGAAAATGGCTCTATAATTGTAAGTGTAAATAATATTACAAAAGTATTTAAAAAAAAAACAGATAAAAATACCTGAAACCATGTTAGCCGCGTGCGCAGTCAATCTGAACTGAGATTCAAGGTATTTTGGGAGGAATGTGTAAAGTCCAGCGATTGGAAGAATATGAAGAACACTCGATGCAGTCCGGAACATGAGAATATCGTTTCTTAATAACCTCTTCACTGCTTTCGGGAAGTCTTTGAGTCTGGGATTCTTTCTGGAAGTCTCACGAGGTTTCTTGGTTGAAGGCAACGGCCTGCAGGTGGAAAGCTTCTTGGGGAAGGAGAACATCGCCAAAGAGGCCAGGACGAGGAGGCTGGAGATGAGAACCAGCCCCAACCACCACGCTCCCACCCAGCGGGGGTTGTCGGGAGTGATCTGGGGTTCGGCGCTGAGGTCCACGTACAGCCGGGTACACAGCGAGCCCAGGATGAACCCGAGGGCGGGTCCGAGGATCCTCACTCCGATAGTGATGGCGAAGTAGAGGGGGCTCTCCCTGCTGGCCACGTTGTCGTCGATGTAGGGGATCCCGAGGGTGTAGACCGCCGTCTGTCCCATACCCACCCCGAGCAGGCTGATGAAGAAGATGGACAAGACGATGGTCGTAATGTTGGACTGCTCCACTTCTCTGCACTGGGCAGAGGTCTCGTTCGCATGTGAGATGTATACGTCGGGCAGTTGGCAAACACTCGGTGGAGCAAGGGCGGGCGCATTCTCGGAGAGCATCCGGTGGCCGAAGATGAAGTGCGGAAGAGAGCAAGCGAGCGATGACACGGCGAAGAGTACCATCCCGCAGGCGATCCACTTGGGTCGGTGGCCTTGGCCGCCGTAGTAGGTGAGCAGCAAGGAGGACCCTATCTGCCCGATCTCGGTGGCACTCATGATGAAGCCAGTGGTCTTGCTCTGGAGCTGGAACAGCTTCTCGATGGTGGTGATGACGGACACGAAGTAGGTGTAGTACATGCCCTGGAGGACCCAGGTGATGCAGAAGGTGACGAGGAAGGCCTGCTTGGAGGCGAAGAGCTGGATCCAGCGGGGCTTGCAGGGGCCGAGCCCGCAGGCCATTGGCTCCTGCTCCTGCTGCTGCGGCTGCTCCGCCGGCCACTCCGGCAGCAGGCCCCCGTTCTTGTACCCTCCCTTCTCCTCCACTATCTCGCCGTTCGTTCCCGCCATCTGGAACAGCAATACAAAAGTTATACACAGGAAATAACTATAACTCAAATTAGAGGATGTTTTAAATCGAGTAATAAAGGTAAGAATGGTGTTTAGGTAATCAATCAAGTTTATATAAATAGATATGATGCATAAAAAAAAAAAAAAACATAGCTTACCAACTTCTGAAAGATTCAAGAAAAGCTTTAAAAAACCGTTAAAGTGTCTACTTTTTGTACCAGAGATTGCAAAAACTTTAAATAACCGTATATATCTCAGCACCAACGAACCCGATTGATCAATAATATATATATTTAATCAGACATTTAACATTTAATTAGAAGTAACCTCATTATCTCTCGGAAAACATAGTGTGAACTTTTTTAGTAATTCTTAAATAAAATTCTGCATTGATTGACTCTTTTTCTCTTTTTTTTTTCGAGGAAGTATATCACAAATACATCTTTAAACGTTTTCAAGTAAATGTCTTCGGAGAAGGCAAGATTCATGAACCAAAATTGGCAAAAAATATGTACCTCCTGGTGAAATATAAGACTCGTATACACAGAATGCATTATGTCCCGGAGTTCAGCAATTCCTTTGTCTGTATCATTATAGATTATCGCGCTCTTTGTGACGGTGATAGTGGAATAGAATATAACACAACTTGCAATATCGCGTTCTGTGCAAACGAGCCTCAAATACTTTGACAGAAAGTTATTTATTTGTTTGTAGATTCAGTTTAATGCTATTAGTAGCTAAATTAAGCTGCAAATAAGAAAAACAAAATAATGAGACATTAAGAATATAAGCGTATAATCAATGTATGCGCTTAAACATCATTAAAATGACATCTAATTTCGATATTTTTGTTTCAATCGGCCTATTTACAAAATAATTAAATACTAATACTATGTATATCTAATAACTATATATTAATGAGAATATGCTAAATTAATTGCGAATAACTTAAATTAAAAAGATAATTGAAACTTGTAACGAAATGAAGCCTGCTGAAACATTGGACATGTTCCGTCGAATTCACACATCCGTCGAAATTCGAAGTAACAGAGGAAGATACTACGCCTCAGGGTATTCCAAGATGTCGATTCGAATTGTAGATTTTGTTTACTGTTTTATCGATTCCTTCTGAGTTCCTGATACGTAGTTCTTGGAGTTCACACGGCAGGCAGGCACACTCCTGCCCGTTTCAACTTTCACATCGGGAAAACCCAGCCATGCGCTCATCACACCACCTCCCTCAAAAGATCTCGAGGCCACTGCCGTTTCAACCTTCGAGGGGGATGGTATGGATGTTCGGAGCTGGATAGGGATTGCGCTAGAGGATTGGGATGATGAATGAGGTTCTGGTGAAAGTTGGAGAATCTGGATGGGATGATGTCATGGACATATGGGATGTTAAGGTCATGGTGTAGGGTCTTGTTCGTGACATAATATGGAGCATTGACTATTGTTCGAAGGACTTTGGACTGGAAGGATTGGATGCGTTTGATATTCGATGATTTAGTTGTCCCCCACAGTTCAAGTCCGTAGGTCCAGATAGGTTTCAGTATGGTCTTGTAGATTAATAATTTGTTTTCTGTTGAGAGATGAGATGTTCTGTTTAGTAGTCTATATAGCTGACCAAATCGTCGGTTAAGCTCTTGTCTTTTAAGTCTGGTATGTGGGTTCCAAGTCAGTCTTTTGTCCAAAAGGAAGCCAAGGTATCGGACTGTGTCTGAGTAGGGAAGAGGAATTGAATTAAAAAGGATTGGCGGACAGGATCTGCGTCGAAGAGTGAAAGTTACATGCTTGCATTTTCTAGAACCGAATTTTGGCACCAAACTTATATGACCTCGTTAGCGATTTCTTCACTATAGGTTCCAAAGATAAAATATAAACGACTGAATACCAACAAGCAACATAACACCATCTAATCATGTAAGATAGTAGTTAAAATGAACTTATAATTAAATAAAATTGTATATTTTCCAACTTCTTTTCGAGGAAGTATATCAATTAGATAAATTTAAATAGCTTCAAGTTTTTAATACCAGTGAAGTGGTTAAGGGAGAAGCGCGGGGATCTCCTGAAGCCTAATGTTTCCCCCCACAAGTTGGGAAACAAGTCTGGTTCGGAGTTCCCTTGGATAATTGTAAATAGTGTATATAGGCATGCCTGCGTCTAAGATGTTTATTTTCTTTTTTAAGAACATTTTATTTTATTTTATTATTTTAATTATATTATTATGTTTATTTTCTTCCATCATTATATTTTGTTTTGTTCTTATTTCGCTGTATATTATATTGTATTTTTTTATTACCTTACTTATTTATGATTCTGTAAATATGGTGTGAATGTGTTTTCTGAACTGTATTATAAGAGTCCTTAATTAAGACAGATTGTAATATTTATCAACACACAAGTAAATTAAAAAAATTCTTAGTAGGTTATAAATTTTAAAAAACCTTTATTTTGACTTTCTTTCTCAAAATCCCTGCTTTCCACACTAAGCATTAACAAAACAAAAAAAAAAAATCAAATAAAAGCCACAGAAATATAGAACGATGCGATGAAGGAATGTTTCTTCAACTCCGTCTAAATTTCATACATAATGCTTTTCTTGTTTTGTTCAACAGTGTTTAATACAATAGTGAGGAAAAAAAAAGCTCGATTAATTATATGTTAACAAAGCATTTGAAATTTAAAGCCATCTCTGAATTGCAATGGCTAATGTTTTTACATCCTGTCTATTAAGAACAAGGAAAACCCAGGTTCTATCCCAAGTAAATAAAATACAACTACCAAGGAATCGTCCCTAAAGAGTTTTTCAACAATCAGGAAAAGAAAAACTCTTTTGGTAATCAAATATTGAAGCGTTCAAGTAGAATGTAGACACATTTATGTCAAAGAAGGAAATTCTATATGGAAAACATCAACATAAAGTTTAAACCAAAATTTAAAATATAGTAAACTCTTCATTCGACTAATACTAATTTTTTTTTAAATTATGTGTAAGCGAAATATCTGAACAGTTTTAAACAAAAACAATAGAAAATCCGTGTACAGAGCTGAGGAGTTTAATGGAGGAGATACAGTCCTAGGTTGTTACTGTTTTTACAGTTCTTCTCCCAGATTAACCATAATAGGTAAGTCATTTTATAAATTTAACATATTTTTAAGTTATTTTATTTTTATTTATTGCATATACTTTTTTATTATTTTTTAGTTGATATTTTCCTTTTGTATATTTTATCCTTAGTTTATATATAATGTGGATGTGGTCTTACCTCACTATAATTATTGTCCAAGTAACAGAATATTATATTACCCAATAAAAAAAAGAACGGATAGTATAAGTATAACAGTTTTATATATATATATATATATATATATATATATATATATATATATATATATATATATATATATATATATAAAGTTGTAATTCATCCACTTTTTTATTTCAGTTAACTTACGACTCAATAACAAAGTCTGGAGTAATTGTAGAAAAATGAAAACATATAATAACGAGGAGAAAACTGTAATATAATAAAAGATATGGGGAACGAAAAAGAAAAAAAAAAGATTAACCATTGTTTCTTCTTTATTTAATTATCAAATTAGTTTATGGTTAATTATTCATTTGGTTATTAATCACAAATATGAATCATATTTATTTAGTTTTTATTACTAGTTACAATGTGAACTGGTTAATTGTATTAAACAAACAAATCTAATTGTATTTTAGAGAAAGATATATTTGAAATTCGGCTTTTAAGCCTTGTTAGATAAGTGCAATGAACATAACACCTACCTGATATTAAATACCACTTGTTATAAAATTCAATACAATCTTTGATTTCTGTTGTAAACCGACAGATATTAATCACAAACAGAGGGAAAAACATTAGCATAGAAACATTTCATTTACACAGTCGTGTTGGCCATAGTTTATGAAATGTGTAAAAGTACTTTTTACATTATGTTTGTTTCCTAAAGACATATAAATTCGGCTAATTTTCTAATAATATACCAAAGCAGGAGCCATTTTGAAAAGTGAAAACAGACAAGGACAGCTAATGAATAGTTAATTGATTCTTATCAAACTGCCCCAAGGTGACAGCGGCGGCGTTCGCGAGCGAGCGCTCAACGTCGTTAGCAGCGAGACTAATCCACTCCTCCAGCGGCAATGGCTCCGATTCGCCACTCCAGTTCAAGTTCATTAACGAGCGCCAAATGTCAATTGCGCTCCATTACGTCTGATTGTTGAGAAAATTCCTAGCGTAGAAAGTAATAGCTTGTAAAACCTCTATGGGAACGTTAATTTTTTTGCAAGATTCTTCTGCTGGTCATTAATGAAAATTATCGGGACAGAGAAAACTTGATCTCGGTGTTTCTTAATATAATTCAAACCTTCCTGCAAGTATTTTTTTATTTATTATTATGTTTTATAATAATTTGATTACTCTGGGGAAATAAGAGCTGAGTATTTCAAGGACTAAAGGCGGTTCCGTTCTACTTTTTATGTTTTGTTTTTAGTTGGATGATAATAAGACGGAAAATTGTTGTTCCGCTTGTTTCGTTCTGCTTTCATGTCACATTGAATATATAACACCCGATTTAACAAATCGGAATCGAGAAGTCATTACAGTAATTTTGTATTATTTCCTGATATTCCTAGTAACAATGTTTGTAAAATCTTAAAAAAAAAAGAAGCTTAATCAAGCATCAAACGAACTAGGTACTTTTCTAATTAAGATACATTTGAGGAACTTATTATACATTTCTGTGCAATTTTTTTTTCTTAGATAATCCGACCTTTCGTTCAGGACTTCAGTATACAGAGTGTCTCAGTTCAAACATAGGGAGGTGATTCTAGACTGAATTTCCAACAACAATTTTATTTCACGCCGGTGTCGATTTCGAACAGACACGAAGTTTAGTCCAATTTCACTTTCCTATCTATACTAGGTAAAAAAAAGTATTGCGATTGGGTCAAATGTCCGATATGCGGTTTT